CAAGTACAAAGCAGGACTTGAAACTGACAATCTGAGTTTGCACCGGTTTCCATCTGATCCAGTCATCCGAGAAAAATGGATGCAGTTTGTTTGCAACCCACAGACATAATAACATGTCATGTGTACAGGTATCACACCTGCCTGTCTGTGTAATTACATCACGTTATGTTTCATCTTTATAAGGTGAATTTGCATTTTTGATAATTTTTTTACTGTAAGTCCATACCGAAAGGTATCAGAATCTGCAAAGTTGTGTTTTACGTTGCATGTGACCTTTAATATTCCAATTAATTTTCAGTTACTGTCAATGTTACTGTCTCCTTTGAAGAAACTTAGCTAAACCTGTAGAGGTTTCAAATTCTTTGAAGAGAATCGTCCTTGGGGGACATATATGCATTTTCTGCGGCTGAAAATGTTATGTGACAGTTGTATCAATGTTTTAATAAAAATATTGTACAATAAATAAAAATCTGTTTTATCTATTATACGGCCCACCACCACATGGAGTTACCTCCCTGCTACGATGCGCAGCCAACCAGGTAAGCACCTAGGCCCGTATCATCATTCCTTCTGCTGAATAAATCAGTGAACAGAATTGCGGGGAGGTGGGTGACCCTACCCCAAGGACGATTCTCTTCAAAGAATTGGAAACCTACAGGTTTAGCTACTTCTTTTTCATAGAGAACGTCCTTGGGCGACATATATGCATTAACTCAGACTCCCAAAGACCAGAGGATAGGGAGGAGGGGATTCTGTCAAAGTACACATAAATAGTGATCGTTAGGAAGGATGTAACAGACGCCACAACCCTCACCTGCCACGTGTCCCGAAGCTTCCGCGAGAGGCATGATGGGAGGGTAACCTGCAGGGAGGAAAGTACAGAGATCCGACCACATAGGTTAAGCAAAGCACTTCGCACACAGTGCGAAAGTAAAAAAACCCGCCCACATCGTGAATCTGTTAAAGAGCACTGTAAGGGGGAAACCTAACTCACAACCGACCATAATCTCCTGAGAGAATCGAAAGGAGTTAAATATGATAACAGCGGATATATCAATGATACACAATTGACAGCAGCGTCAACTGTCCAGATAACCAAGACTCACTCAGTCAGGGTAGCAGGACACTGTCCACTGGAGAGAACAGAACGACCAAAACGCGCACGATCATGTGAAGGTGTATCAAGCTGATAGTGCCTGATAAAAGTGCTCCAAATAGCGGCAGAGCATATCTCTTCAATGGGCAGTGCCGATGAAAAAGCCTTTGACGTGGTCACTGCCCGGACCAAGTGAGCCTTCAACCCCTCAGGGGGAGGCTTGCCCGTAGCCTGATAAGCAGCACAAATGACCGATACAAGCCAGCATGATAGGGTCTGTTTGCTAGCCGGCATGCAGCCTTCCCGCCACCGTAACAGCAGAACAGATGGGTACCCGTACGGATCCTTTGTGTTCGTTTGATATAGACCTTGAGAGTCTTACGGACATCCAGCGGGTGAGTGCTCGTTGCAGAGGTCCCCGATGTGGAAGGCTGGGTAAGAGTAGGAAGTTCGATAGGAGCTGTCACATGGAAAGCGTGATCGATCTTCGGACGGTAAGTATACGGGAGGCGAATACTGACACGATCTGGATGGAACCCAGTCAGCGCCATGTCTGCCGACATAGCATGTAAGTCGCAAACCCTTCACCCAGATGTTACCGCCACCAGAAATGCGGCCTTCCATGTTAACAGCTGAATGGAAATAGCTGATAGACGTGAGAACGTAGGACCGGACAGCCAATCTAGCATGATTGACAAATCCCAAGGTGGGCTGGTTCGCCTGACAGCAGGTCGAACACGATCCACGCCAGCTAAAAAGCACTGCATAAGAGGGTGCTGCCACAGAAGAGCACCATCGACAGGGGTGTGGAAAGTGGAAATAGCGGTTGAGTAGCCACGAATGGTCGAAGCCGCCAAGCCTTCTTGCAAACGAGCTTGCAAAAACTCCAGTACTCGGACTAAATCCACAGAAAGGGATCTGCAATCCCCTTATCTGAACACCAGCGTGCATAGCGGGACCACCTATCCTCATATTGAACGCTTGTCGAATCCGGAATTGTGTCTGCAACTGCTGCTGGAATTCCGCGTGCTTTGAGGCTAGACCTGACAGAGGCCAAGCCACCCACTGAATCCTTGGATTGGGGTATGGCGCGCTGTTCTGAGCGAGAATGTCCGGTCGCAAAGGTAATAGAACAGGAGGCTGAGCCAGAAACCTGAGAATTACCGGAAACCAGCTCTGTGACGGATATAGCGGTGCCAGTAGCACAGATCCACCTGGAATGATCCGTACAACTGGGAGATAACTCCGAATATCTGCCAGTCGGGCATCCACTCGTGCGGGGCCAGCATCCGGCGAGAGAGAGAGCGTCTGCTCGCACGTTCTCCAGCCCCAGGAGATAAACAGGAAGCACCTGACAGTCGCACTGGTTGCACCAGAGGAGAAATGCCCATGTCTCCTGAAGGAGCGCTAGGGACACCGTGCTGCCTTGCTTCAGGATGTATGTCATGGCCGTATGGTTGTCCAACTGAAGACGAACCACCTGGCCCTGAACATGCTCCCGGAAGCGCTCGAAAACCAACCACACAGCTCTCAGTTCTAATACGTTGATGTGAAGGCGGGCTTCGGCTTCGGACTAGAGTCCGGACACCGACAGACTGCCCAGAAGAACCCCCCAGCCCGTGAGGGACGCATCGGTTTGAACTGTAAGAGCTGGCGTAGTAATTTCCAAAGGGATCCCCTTGGAGAGATTCCCGACATTGGTCCACCACTGAAGGTGAGGAGACAACCACCCGGGGACTGTGAGATCCTCCGAGTGAACCCACAGACTCGCCAAAGCTTGCCGTATAGGGCTTATCCTCAACCGCGCCCGCCACACTACAGAGATTGTTGCAGCCATATGACCCAGTAGACGGAGCCAAGTCCGCGCTGGTGCCTGGGGCTGGGAGAGGAACAAAGACACCATCTCCCGTACTCTGGTGACCCGGTCGGGCGACAAAGAGACAAGACCCTTGTGAGTTGTGAACCTCGCCCCGAGAAAAACCAAGTCCTGGGTGGGTACCAGGTCGGATTTCTTGAGGTTGATGATCCACCCCAGTCGAACTAGAATGTCTATCACTGTGTGGGTAGAATCTAGGCCCGCTGGCTGAGCAATCTAGGTAAGGGTAACAACACCTTCCTTGCGACCTTGCGAGGGTAGCCGGCACTAACATGAGCTTGGTGAACACCCTGGGGGCAGTGGATATGCCGAAGGGGAACACCGTGAATTGGTAATACATCCCGTCGTACGAGAACCGGAGGTACTGCTTGAACGATGGATGATTGGCACATGTAGATACGCATCTTTTAGGTAGATCGACGTAAGCCAATCGCCGGGCTGAACAGAGGAGATCACCGAGCGAAGTGTCTCCATCTTGAAGGATAGAACCTCTAACATGCGATTCAACCCCTTGAGGTTGAGAATGGGACGGAACCCACCGTTCTTCTTCGAAACGAGGAAGTATGTGGAATAAAATCCCGCCTGTTCCTCGCCCGGTGGTATGCGCTCTATTACGGACTTGGCCAGCAAAGCCTGAACTTCGTCTCGCAGTATACCCGCCTTGACCGGACATGACGGCACCAGAGTGCGACGTATGCCGGTGAACTCTGGCGGGCCTGGCTTCCACAGTGGTAGATGGCCGACACTGACGGTGGATAGCACCCAGACGGTGGATAGCACCAGAACCAGCTCCTCCGCTCTCATGGGGCGGGGTGGCACAGGGACCGGAACCCCAGGAATCCTCAACGGATCCTGCGCCAGCACCGAGAGGGGGACTGGGAGTGAACCCTCCCCCTCCGGGGTAGCTGAGGCGTCTGGACCGGAAGCCAAAGGCAAAGGATCAACAGTCGCCTCCAGGCTAAGGGATCGAGCCAGGCTCGGGGATCCCACCCCCGGACTTTCGGTCCCCTGTTCAGAGTGGGCGAGGAACTCCTGGCGGAGACCTCCAACAGACCCATGAACAAGGGACTCCACGGAGTCCATGTGCTGCTGAAACCATTGAGTGATTATTGACATATCAAAACTACTAGATTGGGATTGAGATTGGGAATGCGACTTATGCGAAGACCTAGGTTTAGCTTGTTTAGCCTTTTTGGCTTTGGACGGGGGGACCTCCTGGGTCAGTTCCCCTCCCACCTCTCGCAATTCCTTATAAAAGAGGAAATCAGCCGCCCGTCTCTTCTGGGCCCGGGGGGAAAAGGCCATACACAGTTTGCAGATTTCAGGGTTATGCCCCGCTTTCTCTAAACAGCACAAGCATTTGTCATGCTTATCAGCTCTCGGGATATTCTGCCCGCAGACAGTACACCCAGTAAACGCCTGAAAGCAAACACGCAAGCATGTAGCTAATGGCGAACACAGCAGCATAAATATACACATACAAAACATTGAAAATTACGTGAATGCGACCACGGGACATGAAATACTTGGTTAATAATGCAATATTTCAAGCACGTGGCACCCTAAACTTCCCGCCATGGAATAGCAACACGTGCGTAAACCACGGGAAAGCTAGCGTAAAAATTTAATACAAAGTCATATAAATGAGAAATAAAAGACTGTAAAGTCAATAAAACTGTTCTTTTCCTTTTTCAAGAACGAATAAAGACCATACATACAGTTGTTGAAGTCTCAGACATTCTTCACAAGAGACTGACTGATTTGGTTTTACGCCGCTTTTAGCAATATTTCAGCAACATCACGGCAGGGGACACCAGAAATGGACTTCACACTGGTTGGCTGTGCATGCGTAGCAGGGAGGTAACTCCACTTGGTGGGAGGTCGTATAATAGATAAAAAAGATTTTTATTTATTGTACAATATTGTTATTAAAACATTGATACAACTGTCACATGACATTTTCAGCCGCAGAAAATGCATATATGACCCCCCAAGGACGATCTCTATGAAAACGAATAAGTTACTTACTGAAATCTTTCACATGCAGAATCAGTCTAGCAACCAAGGCCAGGTACTCCTCCTGAAAAGGAAAACATGGGGGAATGAATAAATCAGGTATGTGGACAATATTGTAGCATTACTACTTGTATAAAGGAAACGGCACACAGTAAGAGAGTGGCTTGGGTTAACACCTCTTTGAACAGAATTGCAGTTATATGACAGTGTGTCAGTCTACCATGTGAGGAAAGCCTAAAAAGGCCTTGAACTTTTACCATAATAGGGTGTATGGTGCTAACAAGCCTAGGAACATAATCAGGGTGAACCGGGATTCAAACCCATGATCAGAGATTTTGACATACCCCAGGGAAACACCTCTGTGCAGAGAATTGGGGCACTTTACACCACTTGGACACCCATGTGCCATATTCCATAGAGAGCATGGATACTTGTGCCATATACAACTGAACATCATGTGCCCAAATCCCAAACAGAGCATGGGTACATGTGCCACATATCACTGAATATCATGTGACATTGGTATCAAATAACACTCACACTGAAAGTATGTTGGAACTTACTCGTGTCTTAGCTTTTTGGAAAACATGGTTTTCCATGTCCATACTCGATCGCACCATTGGAGTAGCTGACTGTCGAATTGCATCATCTCTGAAATTGAAAAAAATGTAAAAGACTTAACATTAATCATAACAAGAAGGTTAACTTATTTCCTTCGCATAACAAATTCTATTTAAGATGACAATCAGAAGAGACAAGGATTCCTTCATTCATTCAACCTCTCTTATTTCACTGGAATAATTTACTAACCCAGAGCTTAACTCTGCTAACAACTATTCCCAGGAACAAAAAGGGGGTGCCTTACCCTAAGGAATGTAAACAAAAGGTGCTTCACTGGAATTTGAGCCAAAACCCAACTGTTTGACTGGAAAACTGCACCCTGGGCCTGGGTACCTAACACTTTTTTGTCGTAAATGGGAACTTAATTCGAACCAAGAGTTAAAGATAGAATTGGTGCATCTTGCATTAATCCACTAAGCCTACGAAAAAACGAGCCATGTGGGATCAAAGCGATGGCCACAACAGTTAACCTGAGGCAATGATTAGCAGTCTAATCTGGTAAACTTGTCATCGATCAGATCTTATGCCATGACTTCAATTAACATTGACATATCGGTGTTCCCCATCTCCTGTGATCAGCTGAAGAATTTAGACAGAGCTTTTTGCATTAAATTGGCTAAAAGCTGTGAAAACGAAGTCAAACGCTTTCCCCGGAACTGAATGTCCAAACACATCCAATCAGCAAATGACAATCAAAACATTGCGCACTTGTCATTAAAGTTACCCATGATGATTATGCGATAGAAACAAACGCAATTGTCACAGAAAAAGAGAGTCAGGAATAACAAACATATAGTACTTATAAACAGTCGTCATATATGTTTTCTTACATTTGAGCAACGAGTTTCTGACGGAAATTTTGAGTACGCCAATCTGCCTGATCAGCCATTGTGATGAACTTGCGATTTATCGCCCCTTACGAAAGGGGAGGTAATACAGTTTTAACTCATTCTTTCATGCCGATAAGAATAAAGCGACAACCGTTTACACATATGTTTTTCAAATTTCTATAATCTCATATACATTGCAGGAAAGGTAATTATGTAAATCAAATATACAGTATTATATTCGATAAATATACCCCGACGGTTCAACTAGGCCCGTTACAACCCATGATGGCGGTAAAAGGCAACCAAATGGGTCAGGTGGTCAGGCTCTGGACTTCTTGGGCTCTCCTTCACAACATCAGTCACTGGTTTATCTGCTCCAAATTGGGTTGTATAGAGCTGGATTATTGTTCAGTGGCGTTAGAGAAGATATAGACAACTTTAGAAAACACAAGCAAGGTTATTTCGTGAGGTCAAAAGGCTGTTGTCAATGTTATGCACATTAATTCTAATAGTAAGGTTCGTATTAAAGCTGATATTATAGACTCAGATATTAGTTTTATTAATATAACACTGAGTATCACATGCATTCATGAAGAAATAATGACACTTTGCTTTCTTAACTGATAGCAGTTTCCTTCCAATAGGATCGCTCAAGTGATAGGTAGTTTAATTCAGGATTTAAAAAGTCTAGTACTGACAGATTTCTCAAACCATTTGGAATGAAAGATAATCTCTTTACCAATGGTGATGTCTTTGTTGTAAAAGATAGGTTCCGTTATAAAGTCATCAAACGATTCAGGCTGCATTTTTATTGATGACTTATCAAACGCAAAGACAACTTGGGTAGATCTGTTTTTATTAACCACATGCTTAAACTAACTTTCAAAATGCCGGATACTTTTTGTGAAAGAGGATTGATTTTCCGCAACTTTTTAACTGTTTCATGGTTTGTGGAAATACAATGAGTTGCTCAGGTGAGATTAAGGCCACTTTGGGTAGTGTTTCTGGTCTATGACGGTGTGTGAGCTTGATGTTGGACAGCTTTGTTATATCACTGCTTTTAAATTTGATGTTAAGGAGTCACTGGTTTGGGATTAATCCCACTTTGAACAATATGTCAGTTACATCACGGAAAGCATCAAAGTGTTATAGCATCGAATCCTGTAACACAGGCTGCTGACAACCCATTGCTTTAGAATTGTATACAACCCTCCGTGGTGTAGTGGTTAGAGCGTCCGCCCGGAGAGCGGAAAGTGGCGGGTTCGATCCCCGGCCGCGCCATACCAAAAGACGTAAAACATGGTACTTGTTGGTTCCTGCCTGACATTAATGGGTAAAACAAGGACTGGTTGGTTCGGAGTGATTGAGGATTCTTTGCTGATTGACCGCCTCCGTGGTGTAGTGGTATATAGAGCGTCTGCACGTAGAGTGGAAGGTTGCGGGTTCGATCCCCGGCCACGTCATACCAAGAGATGTTAAGATATGGTGCTCGGCATTAACATAATTAATGGGTACAACAAGGACTGGTCGGCTCGGAGTCAGTATAATGTGTCTGAGTGGGGTATTCATGCTTAACTGCGGCATGGTATCTCAGTGAGCTAGCACTATAAAACCAGCTTAAGTCTGGGCTAGTACAAGCAGCCATACATACATATGCATGCACGTCGTCATATGAGCGAAATATTCTTAAATAAGACGTTAAACCCCCATTTCACCTCACGTATACATCGTATCAGAACAACAGCTCGGTTCCAAATTAAGTTGAGATGTGTCGAATCTACAGAGGTACGACCTTAGACTAACACTTAGTCTCTGGATATATATATAATTTTGATAGTAACATATAAATTGAAAAGGAGCCCCATTTGCCTCATTTAGTGCTTTCGCGTTGCATGGAGGGCTGGGCAGTAGGAAAATAGTCCCCCTCCGTGATATTGCTGGAATATGGCTAAAGCGGCGTAAAACCATACTCACTCAGTAGGAAAATAATGTGGTTCAGAACTTCAGGGACCGTGAGACAGACTAGTACGATGTTAAAAGCCTGTGAGTGAGTGAGTGAGTGAGTGATGTCCATGTTGTCAGTGTTGGTCACGTAGTAGGTCTTCGAACCATCACCGCCCACGACATCTGCAGTCACGCAGTGAGTGAGCGAGTGAGTTGCTTTGGACACATGTCAATCAGAGCCAATCTGCGATTCGAACTACAATCATAACTTTCTGGCTTCTCAAGAGATGAAGCTCCGTTACACGAAGGTGCAGCGCTTGCCATGACTATGAGGGGCGGTGGGGTAGCCTAGTGGTTAAAGGGTTCACTCGTCACGTCGAAGACCCGGGTCGATTCCCCACATGGATACAATGTGTGAAACTTATTTCTTGTGTCCCCCGCCGTGATATTGCTGGAATATTGCTAAATGCTGCGTAGAACCCAACATCACATCATCCGATGACTTGGTCACCCGTGTTCCCAAATTATGTACAGCGTCCCAGAAGCTCTTTTCGTGTGGAGAACGACAACATACGCAAATGTGCTAACCCGTAACATTTTATTCATTATTTCAAACTACATGTATATAATGTGTGTACGGTTTGTACACTTGTCAGAGATATATCAAGCTGGTCAAAATATGACCATCTAAGCAGAATATGTCCATGAGCAATGCCGACCTAAGCTGATTGTTAGTTAGTTAGTTATTAGCTTTATTTAGCTATTTAGCACAGCTAAGGTATTTCGACGACGGGTAGTACACTTATTAAGAAATGAGGGGGAAGAAAAATAGAAATTTTGAAAGAGTAGTGTTAAACAACAAGAACTGTGTATTAATGGAATTTTAAATGGGAGGCCGAATTAGAAGGTAAAAAATATGAAATAGGTAAAGAGTAATAGAGATTTGAATTTATATACATGTAGTATAATATATGCCAACAACCAACCCATGTTTAAAAACATGTTATTATTTATTAAGTGAATAATGATGAACATATAAAAGGTTATAAAATTAAGTTGATAAAAAGAGAGAACTAATTTGAACATATATACATATTTATAACAATGTATAAAATGGTAAAAAGTGGAATTATTGTGCTATTGTTTTTGTTGCTAGATTGTTTGGTATAATTTTGTGTATGAATGACTGACTGACTGAGTTTGGTTTTACGCCGCTTTTAGCAATATTCCAGCAACATCACGGCGGGGACACCAGAAATGGGCTTCACACATTGTACCCATGTGGTGTATGAATGAGATAGTTAACGAGTGGTTTAATTAATTTAGGGTTTGTTAGAATGTGCTTGAGCTGATTGATAGTCGTTCATCTTTTTTTAAAAGCAGGCAAGACAGGGAAGCAGGGGGAGCCGACAGACAGCGGGAAGAGCGCGGACAGACCAGCAGCAAGGTAGGGTATGGACAAAGAGGGACGGACACTGGCCAGCCAATCCAGCCCATGTGCTGCCAAGTGTCACCCTGACTTCATCATTTGGTTCCGAGTACTATTTTGGTGGGCATGTGATGCTTTGGGTGTGATTGTCCAGCTATGTGGTTATTAGCAGTTTGCAGAGCCATGCATGGGGACGAACTGACAGTGACCAACCTTCTACTGCTCTCGATGAACGTTTCTAAAAAAATATCGCAGGTGTCATTTCCGCTAATTTCGTTTTGTGACGTTTCACTTTTAACTTGTTTATCCTTTGTACCATTCACGAATATTTGTTCTTGCTCCGTATTTCTTAATTCTACTTAATGACAACTGAACAGTACTCATGAGGGATCTACCCCCAAGCACACTTCATGGTGGGGCACGAGTGGCCCTGGTCTGTCTCAGTCTCTGAACCATATTATTTTCAGTTCCTGTCGGCCTTAACTGTAATGCAAAAGTCATACCAGAAAAACAAGCCTAGATTATCCTCAGGTTCGGCATCTTCCACTTCACTAGGATTACTTCTAATGGAGTTTTTGAAAGACGTCTTTGAGTCTTTCAGAATTATGTATAGTCAGACACTGACCGTGAATCTAGGGTGGCCAAATCGTCTCAATTTATGCAGAGTTGAGTCCCTTGGGCAGGCCAGAAACCTATGGTCGTGGGTTCGAACTCACTCATGCACTTGGATAAATCGATACATGCGTGATGTTGTATCAACCTGTGTGTGTTCCAGACAAACGGACACTGTCCATCACATGTCCGTGTAGAGCGACTCCGCTTTAACCTCTGTTGTCACAAAGTCTGGTAACTTATTGATTATGCACCACCGTACCCTGACGGAGTTAATGGTTGCTCATGATATCAATCATCGGCTTGCCTGGTCCACTTTCAGGTCGTCGTGTTAAAAGATAAGGTAAGTTCTTTTTTATCCCAAGAAAAATTTGGTTTGCATCATGTACATTTCTCCAATTTTTACATTCATAAAGCAGCTATATATAAAATTGCAAATGATAATCATAAAACTATATATAATTAGGATATAAATACACCAATTTAGTACATTAGACATTAGTATTGACTAGAAATTCTATATTGCCCTTTGGAAAGACATACAAAGTCATTCATTGAATTTGTTATTGACACATCGAGTACTAACTGAAACAAATGTGGCGAACCCTGTTTGTTCTAAATGTCGGCATTTGCAGCCTGCGTCAATAAGGTAGTGATGCATATTCCGAAAAATGTGAGTAGGATCACTGAAAACTTTCTTTGGCTTTTTGAAAATTTGCTGCTCATAATAAATGCCGATACTTTCGATAGGAAGCCCAATAATTTTAGTGTTTACGATTTTTTAGAGTTTGTGTTTATTCTAAACAGACAGGTTCTCGAACCAACTCAAGAAATTTTATGTTATGACACTTTGAATAAAGTTTATGTAAAATAACATCATGATTGGTCGATTTTAAAATGTTTCAACTTCCGCAAAAAGTACAAGCGTTGCTGTCCCTTCTTATAAATTTTCTCAGTGTTATTATTCCAGGAGAGCTTTGAATCTAAGACAGTACCCAAATATTTGTATTCAGTTGATCTTTCTGTCTCATTATCTTCAATACTTACAGCATTTACTGTTGGCTTAGTCTGTCTAAAATCTATGATAATTTCTTTGTTTTTGGTGCTGTTTTTTGCACATTCAAAAGTTTGATTTAAACCATTCTACAAATTTTGTAATTTCAGCTTTGTAACTATGTTCTGATTCTCTAATAAGGCCTACCATTGCAGCATCACCAGCGAATTTAACTGTAAGACATGCATATTGGATATTGCAGAACTCGGCGTTTGAAAACAAATACGTATACTCATGTTACTTATCTCAGTCTAGGCACGTCGCCTCTTCAGTGTCACTAAAATCTGTGGTTTAATGAGATTTCTTTAAGATGAAACCAACCTGCCTGACAGAATAAAAAAGGTATGATAAACGGAAAATGTATTTCAAGTGAATTAATTAGAAATTAAAAATCAAAATAGTATTCATAAAATAGCGTAAAAGAGACGAACATTTTCATTATTAAAAAAAACCCTCATGTTAATACATGTAGGTTCGAACCTAATGTTTTGTGACCAGTTAAAAAAAATATAACTCTAAGGTATCCAATAAGGAGTTATGTGCCTTTGTACTGTTTGCGATAACCTGCACATGCGCATTAGGAGTAAAATTCGTTAGAGAGGAAGACGATTTTGGACACGATCGTTCGTATTTCGGGGACCATGTCCCACGACCAGTCGTCCCTTTTGCTTAGAAAGCAACTTGCAGGTGGGTCGAAAGGATTTCCTGCAATCTTTTGGAAAATTACCACTCATTCACCCATTTGAGTGAGAGACGCAGTAACCAAATCCCTGCACCATGTACAGCTGGCAACTAGGCCACAGTTGGAAACAATAACAATAATCAGTCTTGAAGTTCGGAATCATCTGATCAGCTGACGTTTAAAGTCGACAAAGAGCAGAATTTAAATGATTCTGTTAGCCATTAACCCCTATTTCCACATGTGTTATGTGATCTATTGATTATAATTTTTTTTTTTAAATGTGCAGCCGTTTTCCGCATAAGTGCAACTGACTTTGATCTTCTGCTTTATTCAAGTTATGGTGAAAATGGTATCGGTAATATTAGGAATTATATGACGGTCCATGTGCAAGTATTATTTCGAACAGAATTTCTCAGAATAATGCTACAATGCTTTCACCCACGGGACATCAATGATCAATGTGAATAATTCTATGTGGAGATGAATATCTCATCAACCAGATAGGCCCCAGTTGAAAAAAGATTGAGCCTCTGACCATTGACTCTCACTTTGATGATTCTCTCATTTATTTAACACAGGATTAAGTGTGTTTCTCTTGTTATAACATTCTTTGCCAATTCTGGGATTCTTCTATTAAATCTTAATTCAATAAAATGTACTTAATGTATTACTTCTTTTCTTGTTAGATATGTTTGTTCTGGAATGTGTAGACTTTTTATGATATCTGATTGACTGAAACCAACCTTTTATGGCAACTTATGAGAATGAATGTGGTATTTCCTTTATCAACCATGTGTCTACCTATTTAAGTGTAAATATATATAATATGGGTTTTGTTAACCGACTAAAATCAAATCTGTTACATGTCTGGTTGGACATGAATATTGATGCATAGTTGACAATTTTATGAATCCACATTAAGATCATGTTTCTTCAGTTTTATGTGCATACATGGCAAAAGCAATGCTCAAGATTCATATTTAAGAATATCTTCAGCTTGAACTTAAACTGTGGTATTTCAAGGTGATAGTTGTTCATAGGCAGGGCAACTGTTAGAGGACATGAAAACTCAAGTCAAACAGTGTGATGCTTTGAATTTGGGACCAACTGTCTGTCACTTGCACTGCTGGGATATTGCCAGTGCAGTCAAGATTGTTTGGTTTCTTTGATCCGTCATCTGAATTATGTCCTGTCCATACCATGTGGGATAGGGAAACGTGCCATAGATGCTGATATTATTATTAAATGTGCGACCTTGTATGAAGTTGTGAGAACTCAAGTCGGCTTGCTTGTCAGGGACAGCTACAAGTCTCGATCAGAATGAGAATAGACAAACAGGATCTATACACAACACCTTTTTTATATGGAATTTAATATGGGATGATCTGGGTACAAAAGGATAAAAATCATTCTGAAAAAGGTTTCAAATGACTTGTTTTGCGACTGTTCACTTTGAGTGATCTGAGTAAGTGGACCATTTGTGTATGTTTGTTTTTAAACAAACACCTTCTGAAACAGTGCCACGCTTTGCTTTGAATGGGATACTAATGGCACAACAGAAGCATCCATCATAAGCATGAAAAGTCTAGATATTTGTCCACAGAGGGTTTAAAGATACTTTATTTCAATACAATTTATTGTATAGGTAAATGATATCTGATTGACTGAAACCAACCTTTTATGGTAAGGTAACTTATGAGAATGAATATGGTATTTCCTTTATCAACCATTGAATTGAAAGTTGTGAAAGTGGTCTGGTGTATCAAGATTATAGGGACCATGTTTTTTTAATTGATTTATGTCAGACAAATGCGTCTAGCTCAGTTATATGAAGTCTACAGTAACCCTAACCTAGCTTGAAAAGAGAATTTGATGTGTGTGAATGTAATGTAAGTAAATGATGTTTCTACTGATTTTTATGAATGAAAAAAGTAGTTCCAGTGTGAACGAGGTCATGGTTATCTTATCAAAGTGTGTGAAACGAGGTCAGCCTTATGTGACACACATTTCTTACACACCTGTGGGACAGAAACCCATGTGAGATAACTGGTATCATACGTATGTGTGAGATCGATTTCCACGTCTGTGATTGGCTGCTTCATGATGATGACATTAGGTCAGATTATGACGGACTACTTTTCTGATTCATCATTGAAATTCATTGATAAGTTATTCAGTGTTACTCCTGTCAAACACCTTTATAGTTGTGCCACTTATTTTTGCAATTGTATTGTAAAGAGAAAATTTTGTAATAAGACCAACTTAGAATAGATAACAACATGCATCTATTTTCTTCTAATTCCATTTTCGTTTGTTACTTTAGATTCTGGTAATCAATTCAAACTGGCTTCAACAGTCAGTGATACTTATGTAAAGAATTGTGTGAATATTGCCATTAAGGACAAAGGGTGTGTTTTCCTTTGAACAGACAAAATGTACAACATTGGTACCATTACTGGAGAGATGCGACAAGTTGATATTTTGGAGTATTTTGTTGATCAACTTTCATTTCCTTTTTCAGAGCTTAATCGCAATGCCGTAGAGGGATTTTCTGCAGGACTTATTGATGACAATGACATCTACAAATGGGAGGTTGTCATATATGGCCCACCAGACACAGTCTTGTATGTATATCTTTTGCTGCGTTCAAAGCACATCTTAAAACGCATCTCTTTTCACTGCACTATTAACTCTACTCAAACATTATTATTATTTTGTAGGGGTTGGAGCACCTACTTAGTGGTTGGATTTAGCGTTGGATTGAAATTTTCATCATTATTATTATTATATATTGTACTGAATTGTTGAACAGAGACAGACGAGTCGAGAATCTAACTCATCTTGTAAACTGAAGCAACTACCAATTCAATGTCCAGTTCTTCTCTGATTAATTACTCTGTGATCTCATGAAAATGAAATTAGCAACTCTTTGTGTGATGATATTGGAAGTAAGTTAATTAACTTCTTGGTTTCAGTGAAGGGGGATTTTTCAAGGCACATTTGCTGTTCCCCAAAGAGTACCCTCATCGTCCTCCAAAGATGAAGTTTGTGTCGGAAGTATGGCATCCAAACAGTAAGATACATTTATTGTATTTTTTCACCATTCTGTATCATCAGAAATTCAGGTGATTCATACTCAAATGCCCAGATGTTGAAGGGGCTGTAACGGTTAACTTAACAACATGATTAATATTTCAGAAGCTTCCCTTTTTGTGATACGTGATCTGAGGAAGATGTTATTTAACAATAGCTAACTATGTCAAGGATTTATGGAGGCATGTTTCTCAAATCACACCCTGTGAGATGATGTCATCACCTCTTCATAAAGCCCTTGCTGCAAATGGATGAGGGTAGTAATCATAACAGAACAGAGATTTTACACACAGGATGATTGAGGATTCTTTGCTGATTGTATGTCATTGTACCCCAATATTGTTGTACTTACGTCTGTTACAAGCCATCCGACCTTGGACCAGAAGGTCCATGATGAATCCAAATACAGGGCCCCATTTCACAAAGCTCTTGTAAGCCTAAGATCTCATAACTTTTCTCGTAGCATTCACACCTCCTATACTGTAACATAGGAGGTATGAATGCTACGGGAAAAGTTACGAGATCTTAGGCTTATGAGAGCTTTGTGAAACGGAGCACAGGACTCCATGTTATGGCTGCTACATTATCAAAGTTTTATACATTGAGAATGTTCATAATACCTGTGTGTATTGTTTTAACAGTTGACAAAGAGGGCAATGTTTGCATCTCAATCCTACACGAGCCCGGGGATGACAAGTATGGCTATGAGAAAGCCTCAGAGAGGTGGTTGCCAGTCCACACCGTGGAGACCATTCTCATCAGTGTAATATCCATGTTGGCAGATCCCAATGATGAATCCCCAGCAAATGTGGATGCTGCTGTAAGATCCTTCTTCTCCTACTACTACTACTACTACTACTGTCGCTATATGGCTGAAATAATGCTAATGTAACGTTACATTTTCACTCACTCCTCACTAACTCCTACCAAATTAGTAATACTAATGCATTATTTTCAAAAGACTGATGCACGCTTATGATAAAAAGGCACAATTATTATTATCCTAGTCATATGGTCAGCTTGCATTTGATTTCATTCTCAACTCCCTGGGGAGAATACAACATATACCGGTACACCATTAGAAGGTCATGCATAACGATGGATGACATTGTAATGCCTATTAAGACTACATCTTGGATAACTAGTCAACTAAGGTCACATCTCCAGTATGTACTGTATGTTTAGTGGTAAAATATGACACGGAGTGGTAAAGGTTAGGATAGATGGTGCCTACCTAGTTGAAATTTATATTGAAAAAAGGGGTTTCATATCACGTGCATTACTGTAAACATTAATGACTCTGTGTCCAAACCTGGCATGTCAATTTTCTGTAGTTCCTATTGGAAAGCTGGTTCTAAAATTGCATGCAATATTAGCCAGTAATAAAGTACCTGCTAATATGGATTTGATTTCTGTTTTTCCAGAAAGACTGGCGAGAGGAGCCAGAGGTATTCAGAAAGAAAGTTGCCCGCTGTGTACGTAAAAGTCAGGATGAATTATGATGGCAGCACACATTATCATCAAGGTAAGATTTGACGTTGTTTCCTAGATTCCTAGATACCGTCCAATCAAACGCGAGATGACCAAACAGATTTAACCAATCAGACAACGGCTAATATTTAGGGTTCGGCGGGACTTACAAAATGTTTTTGGATTTTCTCCGGTCGCTGACACTGATCTCTCAATAAACGATAATCCGCATAAAACACAGATATTTGACCTGCAGTATATACACTTAGTGGTTTCTGATGAAATGGTTACTGTTATAATTAGCTTATATTTCCACAAGATGACATCCTGGAATATTGACAAAAACGCTATTTTTAGCGACTTTTTACTCACTGTTTTATAAAAACGTCCTTCATGTGTATCACTCATGGAACACAGCATTCGGAACCGTTTGAGTACAAACGTTTTTGAGGTAAAAGTTCAAATGGTATGCACGAATGTTAACTTTCACGATTTGGTAAGCTAAGTTCTAGCTATTTTTAGCGACGTTTTACTCACTGTTTTATAAAAACGTCCTTCATGTGTATCACTCATGGAACATAGCATTCGGAACCGTTTGAGTACAAACGTTTTTGAGGTAAAAGTTCAAATGGTATGCACGAATGTTAACTTTCACGATTTGGTAAGCTAAGTTCTGATTGGTCAATTCAAAATCTTAGCTGAAGCGACCTTCTACTAGGGTTTGTTAGACTCAGTTTAGTATTATCCGTTACACTACTAAACTAAGTTTACTTAGACGGTTGATCAGTGTTCTGTAATGGCACCTGTGAAAACCTCAGTTAGAATTCTGCACCTTGAGCATGCACTAGTTGCGTGGATATGTGCGCTATATAAATATACTATAATAATAAATAAAAATAAATTCTTCAGCAACCCATGCTAGTCTTTTCAGGGACTGTGGAATGGCCCAGTGGTTAAGCATCACTAGGGTTTGATTCCTGACATTGGTACAATGTGTGAAGCCTATGATTGATGTTCCCTGCTGTGGTTTTTTGGAATAAAAGGTGGCCATACTCCCTCCCTTCCCTCAAACAATCAATCAATCAAATTTCTTTCTCCCTCATTAACTGACATGGCACTTCAACTGAAATGCTGTCTAATGGGACATCAAACCCAGCCTAGTCCCTAGAACCTGACAGTTATCATTAAATAGACTGATCTTTTTATCCCCCTGCAACGCGTTTTGCGGGGGGGTATTAAAATGCGCTCCGTCCATGCACTTTCATCTTCTCCGGACCAGAACTTCTAAACCGTTCACTATTTCCTCACCAAACTTGGCACATACAGATCTGGTGGTGTACTGGTGCCTTTTGTTAGTTTTGAATTTCTGTATAAAATATTTGTTTGCGTTCCAATAGCAACAAGTTTCACTTTGACTGAAATTGGTGGTAGTGTTCTTTTCCGGAGCAGAACTGTAAAACCATTCACTATTTCTTCACCAGACTTTCCACATAGATAGGTCTGGTGGTGAACTGGTGCCTTTTGGTAGTTTGGGGATTCTTAATAAAATATTTTGTGTGTTTCCATGGCAACAGGTTTGGCCTCGACTGAATTTGGTGGTAGTGCTCCTTTCTGGAGCAGAACTTAAAAACCTTTCAATACTTTCCTTCTACTTTGCCATATACACACCAAAACATTTGACATAATCATAACTAGTACACATATTCATAAAAGTATTTTGCCATTGCAGGGGATATTGATGACTTTGTCTCCTTGTTTCATGTAGTTTTAGGAAAAATAATTTAAAAATTGCAAATTGTTTATTGTTTAACGCCACACTCAGCATTATTCCAGCAATATAGCAGTGGTCTGTAAATAGTCGAGTCTGGACCAGACAATACACTGATTAACAGCATGAGCATCGATCCACACAATTGCAATACGATGACATGTGTCAACCAAGTCAGTGAGCTTGACCAACCGATCCTGTTAGTCACTTTTTACAAGCATGGGTAACCCGTATCTTCATGGGTATGCAAATTTGTATCAGATGAAATAAGTAAATTATTCTGGCGTTATTATCACAGCTCCCCCAAACTCAATTTGAATTGAAAAAAACACACACACATTTATATGACCAGCACCGTATGATCATCTTGGGTAAACCGTATTATTAATCTCTATTGTTTTCTTTCTTTTCAGTCATTTTTCAGGAAAAGATTTCAAGATAACAAGGCAAAGAAAACAACTTTTTCTCATTTGAATTAGTATGATGTGGCCATGAGCTATACAGCCACACTTCAGTACTGTACAGTCCATTGATTTCTCATCCATCCAAATTCTCATTTCCTTACCATGTTGAAGTACATGCGATGATGTAAATATATTATATACATAAATACAATAACAGTGCTGCCAGTCAGTTATACATAGCATTTACTGTAGGTTTACTCTCAGGGCTGTAGCATAAATTGATTATAGCAGGCTATTTTATTGTTTCCGTTATCGTTTATTGGAAGTAAATTTGTCAATTTATTCTCAGATTTGCTAAGGCTATATTTTATGCCTGAAGGTTATTTTTCTATTAAATTTTGTTTATATAAATATTGTTTTACCTCCCGGAAATTATTTGAAACTTTACTGTTTTTTTTCATCAGTTGTTTGGTTGAATATTATGAAACTGAACTCTGTGGTATTTCAGAATTGGTAATTGTGTTGGAAAGAAGGCATTTGTAACCCAGAATATTTTCCCAGCGTTGTCTCAAATGGGGACAGAATGTGCATGACAGGATCTTCTTTTCTACAGCCCTGAGGTTATGTTAATGGTTTGGTGTATTGGGTTTGGTAGTCTATGCTTTTTCATTTTTACTTGTTGTCCTTTTAAAGTCTAATACAAAGATATCTTTCTATTTATTGGAGAAACATACTAAATATATTAAACTGTTACAGTGTAAAAGCTTCAAGTTGGCTCACTGTTGTTATCTTTGTATTAGATGAAATATATTTTGTCAAAATAATGATTTAATAGTAAATGTTGCATGAAAGTGCGATACATTTAAAACAATATTCAGTCTGAAGATTTAACCAAGGAACATAGTGCTTGCAGTTAATGTGCTATTAATCAATAAATCAAAATTTAAATATGTTGTCATTCCGATTTCTCTTCAAATTGATCACTTCATTTATTCAACTTAGACTGTCTCAAGATGTTTGAGTTTGATTCACAATGTGAAATACAATGGCCTCTTCCTCTTCTAACGCCACTTGCATTTAAGCCGTCCCCCCGATAACAATTTAGGTTATATCTTACAACAGTATACAAATTGTTCGAATTCCATCAAACTGACATGTTTTATAGTATTAGGGACTGGTTATTTCTTACAGGGGTGAGTGGGTCAAAATATTCGATGCCCTAGTGTACTGCAAATAATTATCATCCCCAAATGCGGTCATGGTCTGTCATTTTGATAGTCCTATCACGCCCTTGTACATTTTTTTCATGTTTCCCCAGAAAATATATGCATTATTTCTTACGACCGTAGCCTGGTCTGTCTTGTTTTTGGTAACGCTACCGATTCCTAGAACTAACCTCCGACCCATAAATAGTGAGTCCCTTATATCCTTGAAACGATTGGGCTGTTGTTGCATGTTTCATATGAAATTTATCTGTGTTCATCCTCGAAGATGTGGGTTGTTTGCACACTTTTAAATTAATTTATTATGAATGTGTGTGATGACGTTGTACTTTAGACTTTGCTTTTTTCAGTTATTGAGCAGAAATATCTTTCTTCACATGTGTGATGTTGAATGTTCTATATTACTGTAGGTTTATAAGTTAGTGTTGTTTGGAATTCCTGTTCTGCTCAGGGTGTGGTGGTACAGACAAGTATGTGGGCGATATGGCAGATATCCAAGGAGTGATGCAATACACAGGTCACAATCAAATGCTTTTGGCTTTATCTTTCTTCCAGTTTGTGGTCAGTAAATACTTATGACATGAAGTCAGTTCAATATAAGTAGACAATGTCTGTTGGGCACGCCAGAAACCTGTGAGCATGGGTTCAAATCCTGGTTCATCCTGAGTGTGTCCCTGGTTCATCAATGCTGTGTCCCTGCTCATGGGTTTAGCCAATGTGGTCAACATCTGCATCACTGCGAGCTTTCTCCCACATCAAGCTGGCAAGAGACATGGTACAAAAAGTGTTCAAACTGGCATAGAACCATGCTCGCTCACTCACTCACTTTGGCCTTTCTTCTTTAGAGTCCTTTCAGAGTTTATCTGAGAATCTACAGATATAAATTTCAGAAATCGACAATTTCATGACCAAAGCTACTAGACCAAACAAAAGCATTGTCTAACACCCAAACAAAAGCATTTAAGCAGATTACTATCTACTAAAATTATCTCTCAAATACCGGTATGTTCATCCTAGTAGACACTGTGAATTGAAAATATTTGGATATTTAGTTTGAATACACAAGGTAAATTGGGAAGGTTGTTTTCTGGAGTGAATCTGTTTTTTTAAGGATTGAAGTTGTTACTAAGTGTAGTTTCTAAGGTTGAATGCTCCTAAATACAATTTGTTTGATACAATTCTCTGTGTGTTTGTCATTATCACTGTAGTATTACACCCTGATGTGCACTGGCTGCAATCTTACCACATTTCCACTTACTTCATACCTGACAATGTGGAATTTTAAAACCAGTTGAGAATTTCCCTTTCTCTTAGAGTGTTAGTTAACTGCAGTTAGAACTAGTGTTGCAGAATTAATTGAAGTGAGTGGGTTATAATTTTGTTTTCAAGTTATTTTGTATCTAATTCCACAAGACAGTTAATGGCAGTTAACATAATTTTCGGGTTAATGACCGTGAAAAATAATCATAATCCTTAGCTAATAGTTACTGCTGTACAATTTACTAACACACTTTTTGGCATCGATGCAAAGCCTGCATTGAGAATTGTTATAGGTGTGCTAATTCACTGGGCTCATTCAACAGCAGTCACCATCTAAGGCTATATTCTATCTTGTACTGGTGAATTATTATATGTGTATAAGTGCTATATATCCTGGTTAAACAGTTCAGTGTTATTGCTGGCTACTATCAAGTCTGTGTGATATATCTATAAACGTATTCCAATATGGTACACTCTGCAGTCTCCAGCAGGTAGAACATAGGTGAGTGAGCCCTAGATTTTTGGTAAGTAGTACCTCTGTACATATTTGTGATATGGGAGACTGTTTTCATCAGATTGGTACATTAATACTGCAGTCAATAAACTATTGATTTCAATGTACTGTGTTTGGTTTTCATTTTGTTGTACTTTGCTACTTAAACCTGAAATATGATACCAACACAAAATCGTGTCATTTTGTAACATTTTAAATATTTTTCTTAACATTTGCTCTTAAAGGTCACATGCAACGTAAAACACAACTTTGCAGATTCTGATACCTTTCGGTATGGACTTACCGAAACAAATCATCAAAAATGCAAATTCAACTTATGAAGTTGAAAAATAACGCGATGAAAAAACCCACGTGAAATCGTAGTTCAAACGATTCACTAACTTTCCCCAAGCGCTTGGGGGAATTGAAGTGGTTTCAACAGCTTGGCTGCGCTCATAGCACATGCACAGTGAAATAGGTTCGCGGAGCTTGGAAGCGGGTTGTCCGGTGAATATTCGGTGTGTATTTTTCTAATGTTTTGTTGATATTTCACAGGCACGAGCTTTTTATACGTTGTTACAGTAGATTACCGATTTAACTGTTTATGTCATTTCATTTGTCTATTTCACCACACGTTCTTCTTACCGAGTCACTTTCTCAGTTCGATACTTAAAAGCAATGTCGTTATTTAGCGTCGACAGAATTTCTAACTGTGATATAGATATGTCATTGTCACAGACAAAACTCAATGTCTGTTTTATTGGCACCTATGTGTCTGCCTGCCCGTCTGCTAATGACAATATTCAATACACAATTTCAATCACTGAATTTGAACTTAACACCTATCAGGCTATACACCATAAACAAAACGCACTGATTTATGGCCCGAGTTCTGTCTCTGTCACATTATGTAATTACACAGACAGGCAGGTGTGATACTTGTACACATGACATGTTATTATGTCCGTTGATTGCAAAATGTTATACACAAAAAATGAGCATGTATTTACAAAACCCAACATCTCTATATATACACACACAATGAAATCCAGAGTGCCATAAGAGGGGAGGTTGGGAGGGCTAACCTCATGAGTCAGGATAAGTATAAAATATCAATTTTAGTCAGAAAATTACACGTTTCCTTGTCCTGACTCATGCTAATTATGCTTGCAGAATCCGTCGGAAACGGTGGTGGGTCAAGCCACATTCTGGATTCACTGGTTGTAGATTTACGTCCTGTATTACCCCCCTTGGGAACTTATGACGGCACTGCTGAAGATTCTCAACTTCTCTCTGATGAGTCTGGGGGGACCACAACTTGTCTGATTTCTTCCGAAACTTCTGACATTTTCGTGTGGAGTTTAGATACACTAATATTCCATTAGTTATCTATTGCAACTCCATCTCTTGATGCGCGCATCAAGTGGAGATGTGACCCTTCTTCGTGTACGAGTATGTCCTATACAAGTACAGGGTCTATCACTCATGCTAGTCTGTCCTAGACGTGTGCATGGACTTATAGCCATTGCTCTCCAGAGCATTGTTTTTCACAAGTCACGTGATAAAGGGGTGAGATTTACTCAGCGCTTTTGTGGAACCGTTAGTTGTTGTGCTACAACAAGTGGCCCCAACTCGTGAATGCCAGAGACGTCTTCAGTGGCAATGTCTCTGAGGTAGTGGTTGGCAAACACCGTGTTCGATCTCCAAAAGCAGCCCTCCATTATTGTTGTAATTGAGCAGTTTCCATGCAGAGCAAGTGTTGACGCCAGGGCTCTGGCTTCATGTGGATTGGAGGCTCGGGGAGGCTCAAGTCCTGGTGCTTTATAGGCCCTTAGTATAACGGCTCTCATCCAGATCGATATTGTTGTCCTAGAGACTCCGTGGGCGTCTCAGTGGATAAGGGGATGAATAGGCGCTTGAATTTTCGTCTCCTTGTTTTGGTTCTTTGTAAGTAGACTGTAAGTGCTCTGACTTGGCATAAGGATAGATCCTGCGTATCCTGTGGCCCAAGGACTGTAGATAGTGCTGGGATGTGGACCTGTCTGTCAGGCTGACCAGGCAGTTGGTTCTTGGCGATAGAATTCCATCTCAGTCCTAGATGTATGATGTCTTGATTTAAATCGTGTTCGTTCAAAGTCCAGAGCATGTATTTCAGACATCCTTGCAGCTGTTGCTAGGGCGATCAGAAACAGCGTTTTCTGTGTCAGAAGTTCAAAGGCTGTCCGTTCTAGAGGCTCGTCGGCATCACTGGTGAGATGTTGTAAAACTATGTTGAGATCCCAGGCAGGAGCCTTAAATTTCTTTTGTTGGTCTTCCAACTTGAACGAGCGTAGTAGTGCCAGAATCTCTGGTACTTTGGTCAGCTTGATACCCGTTTTCATGGTGATAACTGTACTGAGGGCCGCTAAGTATGTTGAAAGTGTTGAACCTTTTAAGTGTCTCATCTGTCGTAGATGACATAAGTATTCTGCCACTTGAGGATGTGTTGCTTTCACTGCTGTAAAGCCTTTACTCTTTGCATATTGTTCAAATCTCTGCCACTTGTCGTCATACAAGTTGCGCGTTGATCTGTGTAGAGCTAGTGTAACTGCTTGTGACTCTGGCGGAGTACCCTCTAGTCTTCAAGCAAGCTTTAATACGCTCCACGTGTATAGCTGGAACAGTGTCGGGTTCCCGGGAGCTTGCTTGGTGTGAGGATGGACGAGTAGGTTCGACCACTCTGGTAGTTTCAGGATTGGACTTCCGAGTTCTTGTATGATGATGGGAAACCATACCCTCGTAGTCGCAATGTAGTCGTCTGCTTGATTTTTCTGTAGTACTTGTGGTAGTAGTACAGGAGGCGGAAACACGTAAGCATTTAGTTCTTCCCATGAGATGCTTAGAGCATGTTGCCCATGCCTGAGGATCTTGAATCGGTGAGACGAACGTTGGTAGCTGTTTGTTGAACTTTGTTGCAAACAGGTCTATTAGTGGGGATCCCAAAGTCTGTCTGATGAACTGGAATGCTTCTGAATGCAACATCCATTCCGTCGGGGATGGTTGTAGTGGACGAGATAGGGCATCTGCTTTGACATTCTTTGCTCCCGGAATGTGGCATGCCTTCATGTAGATATTCAGGTCGTCGACTATGCTGAACAGGAGAAAGCTGAGTTGTAGCAGACTTGTTGATCTTGTTGGCCCTTGTTTGTTGATGTAAAACGCCACTGTGGAGTTGTCCGTGTGTACCATGAATTGTGCGTTCTTTAGTACGCTGGAACAATGTTGTAAAGCGTTTCTCCTTGGAATTCTTCTTCGGTACCAGGAAATTTGGGGAGTAGAACCCGGGCGTGATGAGATCTTGATCTATCTCTCCTACTGCCTCTTTGTCGAGTAGGGTCTTGATAGCATTGTCCAGTTTCTCTATCTGGTCGGCTCCGTAGTTGAAGGCCACCGGGTTGCTTGTGAGCGGCGGAGTGGCTTCCAACTGTATCTTGTACCCTCTGCGCAGTATCTGGGATACGTAGTCGTTCTGTAGTATTCCCCAATTCTCCCAGTACACATTTTCATCAATGGTAAACATGAAGAAACCACATGTCAAACAACAGAAATTTTAGAACAAATTTCAAACCGTAATGTAGAATATAATCCTAAAAACCGTATACAGCAATAATTTTGATGTAAGGTCCAAAAATATAAAAGGATATGTGCCGTATAGGGACCCAGGTGCTCTCACAACCGTCCTCAAGGGCGAAGAAGGAGAGAGTGACAAATATGGCCGATCATGTGACCATTTGGGCGCCAAAGGGAGCAAAGGGGCACGCTACTCTTGGGTGAGTGATTTTACGTCCGCTTTTTTAAAGGGAATTTCAAGGGATTTCAAGTGCTCCACTATCATTCGCAAGAGGAAGGAGACAGCATATTTAAGCATTAGTCAGGATAAGGAAAAATAATGATTTTCACAGGGTACAATAGTATGCGATCATCCAAGTCATGTGACCAACCGATGTGTCACCTCCCACAAACATCGCCAGCTGTGGACCGCAATGGAAGAAAACAGTAGTCATGACAGTGATCCCAAGTAACATTTCGACCAAGTGGAGATGTCGCATCTAAAGATTATCAAAACTCAGATGAAAATGAAAACACAAAGCTCTTTTCTGTTGATGCACATTTGCCACTTTTGACAGGATCAGTATTTTCGCAAAACTGCAGCAGAAAATATTACATTAGAAAATTTGTCACCAAGATGATTTTCTTTCACCTGATGTTTCTACTGTCTGTAGGGGTGGTGGGGTAGCCCAGTGGTTAAAGCATTCGCTCGTCACGCAGAAGACCCGGGTCCGATTACCTACATGGGTACAATAATGTGAAGACCATTTCTTGTGTCCCCCGCCGTGATATTGCTAAAAGTGGCATAAAACTAAATTCACTCACTCACTCTACTGTCTGTAATTACAGCTAAGAAAATATTCCTTTTCAAACAATTGAAAAAAGCATTGAAATACATTATACCCTTTCCTATACATAAGGGGGCAGTAGGGTAGCCTAGTGGTTAAAGCGTTGGCTCGTCACACCGAAGACCCAGGTTCAAATCCCAACATGGGTACAATGAGTGAAGCCCATTTCTGGTGATATTGGTGGAATATTGCTAAAAGCGGCGTAAAACCAAACCAGTCTGTCAGTCCTATACATATGATGATGTCCCTGATGTCCTGTGCATATATCACAATACATAACACCCTTCTTGTTCAAAGGGGGCGATTGGGGTAGCCTAGTGGTTAAAGCGTTAACCCGGCGAGCCACGCTCAGTCATCGCCCGAAGACCCGGTTCGATTCCCCACATGGGCACAATGTGTTAAGCCCATTTCTGGTGTCCCCCGCCGTGATATTGCTGGAATATTGCTAAAAGCGGCGTAAAACTAAACTCAGTCAGTCAGTCTTGTTCAAAGACAAATGCTCCATCAGGTGCCTATTCAATATTCTGAAGGGGCCTGTGATTTTTGTTAGTGACTGAATATTTTTCCCGTCAATTCAAAACAGGCAAACATTCTGAGAAAGGAGAAGCCACCCTATTTAATCAATATGTTTTGTCACCAAATAACATTTTACTTGACACTGAGCATCAGTGGAGAGTTTCTTTGTTGTTGAATGCCGCACTCAGCAATATTCCAGCAAAATGGCAGCGGTCTGTAAATAATCGAGACTGGACCAGACAATCCAGTGATCAATAGCATGAGTATCGATCAGTGGAATGTAAGGGACCGTTCATAATATATGGGGAGCATGTACAATGTGAATCACACACACAAACACAAAACAAACTAAACCAAACAAAAAACCTAGTACATGTGTACAAAACTGATAACCCCCCCATACTTCCCCAGAACAAGATGGATGACATACATCCCACCCCCCTAAAATAATCATCAGCCACACACACACACACACACAAACACCCACACCCAAAGCCATAAATTATGAACGGTCCCTAAAACCTGAAAACAAATATTTTTTCCTGAGTATTTACGGAAACAAATCTCAGCACCATCAGACAATCATACCCAGGTGATAAAAAAGCTGATGAAACATAAAAACCTCTTAGATGTTTGTCAAATCTCTTCAAGATTTGAGGAGTGAAAGAACACAACACTGCATTATACACATACTAAATCAGCTAAAAGACTGAATCACACTGGTGATACACCCATTGCTGGTGAGGTATCAACAGTAATTCAGCACCTTGCAGTAATGTGGCCTGCAGTGAAACCAACGATAGATTTCACAAAAACCGTTCAATCGAAGATTGGCTAATGACTACAATAACAAGTTAGTAGTACATGTGTTATTCGATAAATTCAGTGAAAAAAATTACAAAATAATTATGACATGTTTTGACCATGTTGACATTACTGGCAAATTTAATATGTAAGTTGGTTGGCTTTTATCCTGTCTGGCTTGATATATTCCTTTTTCCATTTCTGGTTTTGACCACAACACCCAAATTCAAGGAAAAACAGAATATTTTATTTGCGAATAACAAATTGAATTCATGAATGGATACAGTTCAATACAGCCCAAGTAGTAATCAAAATATTTCGAGTAAGAAAATCATTGAATGATGTGTAAATGACATATCACAGTTTGCTATGGTATACAGCATATATCCATCACCAATTATCACATCATGCAAACTCCATGGCAGTAGCGCACACATCAGCATGAACTGTAATAACATCTGATGGGAACCAGTCTCCACACAGGGGACACTCCACAAAGCTCTCTGCATCATGTGTGAAGACAACATCGGAGTCAGCGCTGTCATCTACGACAGTGTAGGCATCATCGACAGGTGCTTGTGTGTATCTGCTGGGAGATGTTGGTGCAGCTGTAGACCACTCTTGTCCCATGTTACAGGTCCGGGCATGCTGGGAATATATACGTTCTGGAACATTACCTGCAAGCATGAAAAAAGGCCATTGTATTTAAAATGAGTGAGTGATCAATATTCAAGTTATATCACGGCGCCTGTAAATGTCTAGATCTGCATCCTGCAAACTACAGCCTGAACAAGGGTGAAGGAAATGTCTGATGATTGAACGACCATACTGCTTGAGTGAGTGAGTGAGTGAGTGAGTGAGTGAGAGAGAGTGAGAGAGAGTGATATTCAAGTGAGCGAGCAAACAAGCAATATTCCAGCAATATCACTGTGGGACACCAAAAATGAGCTTCCCACATTGTACCCATGTGGGAATTGAATACTTGATTGTTACAGGGGTCCAATACTTGATTAACTATGCTTTAGGAGCCCCAATACTTGATTATCTATGCTTTAGGACCCCCAATATAGTGGAAGCCCTCTAAACCGGCAGCCCTCCAATACGGCATGCTCTCAATATCGGCACTAGATTTTGTCCCGGCAGAAGCTAGTTAATTTATGATAATTTACACGCCCTCTAATCTGGTGTCAGACTATTCTGTATTTCGGCACAACAAAGACTGTTTGTACAGTAATTAACGCTCTGTTTGTACAGTAATTAACACTCTCTAAATCGGCATCCAGTATCTCGGCTCTCCTGTTGATTGGCTGAACGTGTATTAACAACACAGTGGATTACCATCAGCATGATTGTCTTTTTGACTGCCCGCATGGATATGTGCCTGAAGATGTTTCACTGCTATGAGACTGGTTTGTTTTTCCATGCTGTACCGGATGTTATCTTTATTGATGAATAAAGAATATGATGACTATCAACACTTTGTTCAGTTGTATTTTACAGCACACGGAAGACCATTGTCAGGTTGAAAAAGGAAAAGTTCTCTAAACCAGCACGTCCTCTATACCAGCATTTTTTGCCAGTCCCAACGAATGCCAGTTTAGAGGGCTTCCACTGTACTTGATTATCTATGCTTTAGGACCCCCAATACTTGATTGTCTATGCTTTCAGCGGCCTTCACACAGCAAACTAAAGTTTGACAACACATGTTGTAAAACCCGAGTTTGAGAGTGTGAACATTCCAGCAACTTGCCACCAATGTCAGAGTTGTCAAAATCGGTCTCTATTCTCACCAACTTTTCCATCACACTTTTGGTGTTGTCAAACTCGAGTTTGTCGTGTGAACTGTTGTCAAACTCGCGTTGTTCAGAAACAACCAATCGCAGTTTGACAACTTTTAAAATTTTAACATGTGTTGTCAAACTTAAGTTTGCCATGTGAAGGCCACTTTAGGATCCCCAATACTTGATAGGGCTGCGCAATATAACCGGTTTACCGGTTCAGACATGAAAATGATACGTATTGCGATACGCTGATCGAAAACCGGTATTTGGACTTGCATTCGGAAACCTTCGTAACACTCGAAAATCTTCGGATATTTCCTTTTTTCATTTGTGCCAAATATTATTCTCATTTTTATTTTTAATCATGAATAAAAGTTGTTATTAAAGCTTAATCAAGCATAGTGATAGTGCTGTGTATTTGCTCTATAAATCAAGCATTACCTAGATTATAAGTAGTTTTTGTAGTTTTTAAGTAGTTTTTTTGTTTAAAAATACTTCATGCAAAATATTGCAATACATATCCCAATACATGCTTTCGCATCGCAATATATCGCAATATGAAAATTCTCTGCAATACCCACCCCCAATACTTGATTGTCTATACTTTAGGATCCCCAATACTTGATAGTCTATGTTTCAGGAGACTGAATACTTGAGTATGCTACATCACACACCCTGTTAAGTGTCCGGAACCACCCACCTTTACATGACGGACAGCTGACATAGTCACCGTAACCTGAGTCTTGGTTCGATCGTCTGGAAAACATGCAATTGGCACATTATAGTGTGTCGTCTGGAAATACACACATACATAAATGAAGTTCATAACTGTATCTGATATTCCTCAAATATCTAGCTTTCATAAGATGCATGTACATAAACAATCCTGGTACACACTGCAATACATTTAATGTACACAGAAATACATGTCATCCAGTCGACGCTTCCATATTGTTTCATTGAAGAAGCCTACATCATATTTATTTTTGTTTATGTAGTGCTGTGTGGGTAGTTATCCATCTTAATGTGCTTACAGGGTTCGTACAGAATATCAGTCATCAAATTTAAGGCCTTTTTAGGGACTTTTCAAGGTACAAATAAACATAAACACACATAACACATAAGTAGTGGAATACCCACAAGGTTGGTCATATGTGGGACTGACCATCAGGGGGAAATAACTCTCAACTACATCACTGCATTGTGAAAATTTTGCTTCACAGTGGACAATAATCAACACCCACTGACATCGTAACTTATTTTTATTATGTACTTGTTTCCAGTATAATCATGAATTGACAATGGCTAAATATGGGGCCTTTTTATGTCAAATCACTGGCGATTAGGGTATTATCAAGGCTAAAACGAATATAGGACCTCTTTAGAGTAAAATGTCCATATTTCAGGCTTTTTCAATCCTGGTTCAGCTTGTATCACTTAAAAGGAAAGTTACCATAAACACTAAGCCAAATGAATGAGTGAGTTAAGATTTAAAGTCACATCGGCAATATGTCAGCCATATCGTGACTAGTTCGAAATTCATAATACATACATATAATATATAAAATGCTGTCAACGAATGACAGTAAAATTACTAGGTCATCACAAATGATGTAAAACTAGCTAGCATATATCAATAAAAGTAGAAACTTATATTTGAAAAATACAATATAAAAACAGGCTATTGATCGCCAACAACTGAAGGTAGATCACCATACTAGGGCCTATGGAGACTTACATTACTTTTGCTACCTGCATGGACCCTAGCTGGATTTACACCATCCCTTCAGCCATTGGTGTTTATGCTGAAATTTAGCCATACATTAAAATGACCAAAATACTACGATTAAAACCTGGTAGACTTAAATTTACTTGAAATGTTTTGGGACTTACGCCAAAAATGAATGTAAATACATTTACAAACCTAGATATATTTCCTCCACATTTATTTTTACGTCCTCCATTTCCTGGGGTTTGGGAAGCTCCAGAAGCTGCAGACAGCCTAGGTGTTGTTTCTGCTCTTGTAGCTTTAGTTGAACCCGAGGGTCTTGGTGTACCGGGATTAGAACCAGCTTGTGTGGAGTTTGTCACTGACTCACTAGCACTGACCTTCCCCTTGTCCTTAGACAACCACTGATCACATGTATCAACTCGGTCAACTCCAACGTCCTTAACATTCCTACTTCTCTTCCTTGTTTTCGGAGTTCCGATTGTATCACCAGCACCGACACTTGTATTAAGTGCTTTTGATGCAAATGGCAGCCTTTTGGGAGAATGGCCATTGCTCAGATTGTCTTCTTGCTGAAATGTCTTTTGAACATGGGAAATTAGACTTGTTTGGGGAAGTAAGGTTGACTTGGACGAGTTGGAAGTGTGTAGGTTAGGTTTAAACCCCTGTGTCCTGAGACTTTTTGGAGTCCGAGAAAATTCATTTTCATTTTCAAGCTTTCTTTTACAACCTGATGGTGTTGTATGTGTCTTTTCTGTTGATTTTCTGTAACTTTTGGGTGAAAAAGAATTAGAACTGTCTCTTTCTTGACACCGAGAAGAAGATGCAAGGGGAGACAACTCTTGTGTGCTATTCTGTGTTTCGGCTTTGTCAAACAAGCCACAGATATGGTCCCCACACTGCTGCTTGAACAGTTTCTTCTCATCTTGACTTAGCTTTCGCTTCTTCAATTTTTCAAATTTATGGCTCAAATCTGAAATATAGTAATGCCTCCATAATTAAGTGTGCAATTGTTTGTTTGGTGTTTTACATCGCACTTGGTAATATTCCCGCTATATAGCGGCAGTCTGGGATACAAGTGTCAACCAAGTCAGCGAGCCCGACCACCTGATCACGTTAGTGGCCTTTCCGACAAGCTTGGGTTGCTGAAGACCAGTCCCAGTGTACAATAGGGTAAACCTGTGGTGTAGGTTGTTAATTCACACAAAAATATAATACCGTTTTCTCAAAACAGCACATTGCATCCATTGCCTAGTAACTCTTATCACAATGAACAAAAGCATTTTAGTTTCATTGACATTTAAACTAACTCTCTTTTTTCTCTACAGTCTCATCTCTGAAAACTCAATTAATTCAATTTAATATTTAACTCAACTGTATGTATGACTAAAATAACACTCCCTGTCAATTATCTAGGTGCCATCGGGCCATTATTGTGCAAATACAGTACAGTGTCACTTTGGCATACCTTAGAATTCAGTACCACAGTTTACAAAAACACTGATCACATTACACAGGCAGGGGTGGAAATAACTTTAAAATTGCTATTGTACTCTGGTACAGTGGCACATGTAAAATCACTTGCCCTGATAATTTTTCCACTATACTGGCCGATTTTCTTGTTGATTTTATAAATAAACAACATAATTAATATTGGGAGATCAACTGGACACCGGTACAGCATGATATACAAATTAGCTTGCCCGACAGAAAACAACACTGGACTCGGACGTTGGGCAATGGGTTATTTCCACCCCTGACAGGACACACTAACCATTCTGTAACAGATAGCTTGACATTCTACAGTAAGCAGGTGGTAATTGTTGGATGTGTAAATGATGTCACCACGACAAATAGTGGGTGCACATATCTAGGTCACTCTATGATGAGTGAAACGATAGCCATTTGCCTTTAAGCATGTCTTTGTCAAAAGATCTAGGAATAGGTGATAGACTGATTAATGAATTAGTTAAGTGAGTGAGTGTGTGAGTGCGTCCGTGCGTTTGCTCTTCATACTCAATACCCGGGTTTTATTCCCCATATGGGTACAATAGCCTGTTTCTGGTGTTCCCAGCTGTGATATTGCTTGAATATTGCTGACAGTGGTATAAAACTAGTTTAACCACCAGGCTATCTGCCCCACCGCCCTGATCACTGAATGGAGGTGAAGATCCAGTCACATATGAAGAATTGTTGCTCATGCTATAAAGATTATTGGATGAAGACACTTGATTTTCAGACTACTATGACTGTGCCGTAAATTTAATAGAACACATTTATGAGGCACCTGGTGTCAAATCTCAGACCAGAACATGACATACAGGCAAGGCCCTGACTGACAGAGGTGTACCTGCCAATCTTTCTGCACAATTACTAAAGGGTATGGGTTGCTAGGAAACACACCTGCAATAGTCACCTTGTCCAAATCAATGTTTTCCATCTGTATTGAGCTTAAGAACTCGCACAGTTCTTCTTCAAACTGAAACAAAATATAATAGAATGGTTTCAGTGTTGTACACAAGGCAATTGGCCATGCAACTGAACTCATCTCAAGTTAATTGGATGCTACGACCATGATAATGCATGTCAGAGAATACTGGAAATATAAACACAAAAAGGTCTGAGATGATATAGAGTTATATTCCCTGTTATTGTATTAATTTTCTTTCCATATGATTACATGTCAACTTGTTATAAACTAATTTACTTAGTTGAAACAGATAAGCTCGGCTTGGTGCTGAGACTAGGATTGAACCATAGTGAAAACAGGAACCAATGGCAAACCGAAACTGTCAACACCTCATACCACTGGGCCAAACAAGCATATAGATGTCAACTGCTGATGAATGTAGATTTTTCCTTATCCTGACTCATGCTAAATGCTTGTCTCCTTCTCCTTGCGAATAATAGTGGAACACTTGAAATCCCTTGAAGTTCCCTTCTAAAAAGCGGACGTAAAATCACCACTCACCCACGAGTTACCTCCCTTGCCTTCTTGGTGCCTTTTGGTTACCTGACCGGACATTTTTTGTCACTCTCTCCGTATGTATGCTCGACACCCGGATTTACAGGGAAATCCAGAGTGCCATAAGAGGGGAGGTTGGGAGGGCTGACCTCATGAGTCAGGATAAGTATAAAATATCAATTTTAGTCAGAAAATTACATATTTTTCCTTATCCTGACTCATGCTAAATGCTTGCAGAATCCGACGGAATCGGTGGTGGTACGTCCTGTATTATCCCCCTTGGGAACTTATGACGGCACTGTTGAAGATTCTTTCAACTTCTCTCTGATGAGTCTGGGGGGACCACAATTTGTCTGATTTCTTCCAAAACTTCTCCTGACATTTTCGTGTGGACTTTTAGATATACTAATGTTCCATTAGTTATCTATTGCAACTCCATCTCTTGATGCGCATCAAATGGAGATGCGACCCTTCTTCATGTACGAGTATGTCCTATACAAGTACAGGGTCTATCACTCATGCTAGCCTGTCCTAGACGTGTGCATGGACTTGAACCATTTGCTCTCCAGAGCGTTGGTTTTCACCAGTCACGTGATAAAAGGAGGAGATTTTTCTCAGCGCGCCTTTGTGGAACCGTTAGTTGTTGTGCTACAACAAGTGGCCCAAACTGGCTTCCACTATCATTCACAAGGAGAAGGAAACAAGCATTTAGCATGAGTCAGGAAAAGTATAAAAATGAAATTTTTAGAGTAAAATTAATATTTTTTACTTATCCTGACTCAAGCTTATTGCTTGTCTTCTTCTTCTGGCGAACCTAGTGGAACACTTGTATCTCCCAATTGAAGTTCCCTTCAATAAAAAATCACTCATTAGTACTGACCACGAGTTACCTCCCTTCCACAAGCGCGGGAACGAGGGCGCCACCTGAACCCATGTGCCTCACTCTCTCCTCATATACTGAGCCCAACACCTGAATTTCCAGGGAAATCCAAAGTGTTATGTGGGGAGGATGGGAGGGCTTACCTCATGAGTCAGGATAAGTATAAAATATTAATTTTACTCTAAAAATTTCATATTTTTCCTTATCCTGACTCATGCTTATTGCTTGTAGAATCCTACGGATAAGGAGGTGGGATTATATATACTTTGGATTTTACTAATTAGTGATTTGAACTGAGATGATTGCAATAACCCTATGGGAACTTCATAAAGGCACTGAACTGAAGAATTCCTGCTGTTAACTTATCAGCTGCCATATAAGGGTTATTACAATTTACTGAATATAATAAAAGTATATATAACATTAAGTAAGCTGAAGCCATTAATGTGATAGTATAAACTCTTGATAGTTTATAGTGAATACTTTTATAATGAACCAAAGTATTAAGCTTACAATATGCATATATATAAGCTATAATATAACTGTGCTTAAGATATAACTATAACTTAAGCTGTATAATAGTAACCAATTACTGAGAGTTTGTTAACTAATACATGTCATGAACTGAACATATGACTGAGCTTAAGGATTGAAACTTAAGCTGAACATATATATAATAGTAGAACTCCTAAGAGTTGTAGGCATATATATAGTATGATATAGAATCACAGTACCATTATAACAGCAAAAGACTCCCTAGAGTTTATTAGCTAATATACTTTATGATATGAGTATAGTACTGTGCTTAAGATATAATTAACTTGAGCTACCTAAATAGCCAAAACAACTCCGTAGAGTTTGTTAGCTAAAACATGTTATAATGTAACCATAATGCTTAAGATATGATGAAACTTAAGCTAAATATATAATAGCAAAAAACTCCGTAGAGTTTGTTAGCTAATACATGTTATAATGTAACCATAATGCTTAAGATATGATGAAACTTAAGCAAAATATATAATAGCAAAAACTCTTGAGAGTTTGTTAGCTAATATACTTATATGATATAAACGTAGTACTGAGCTTAAGATATGAATAAACTTAAGCTACATATATAATAGCAAAAACTCTGTAGAGTTTGTTAGCTAATACATTATAATGTAACCATAGAATTGAGCTTAAGATATGATTAACTTAAGCTAAATATATAATAACAAACTCCGTAGAGTTGTTAGCTTATATATAGTATGATATAAACACCATAGTACTGAGCTTAAGATAATAAATTAAACTTAAGCAAAATATATAGATAGCATGTATCTATTAGTACTGTCATCCGATAAGTATAAAATCTGTAAGATAGACTTATCTTCTCCGTGGAACTGTCAACTGTTGAGCGAGGACCGAGGGACCGAAACGGTGGATACCTGAGACTTCCTTGGTGGTGATATCTCTCAGATAGTGGTTGGCAAACACCATATCGGATCTCCAGACACATCCCTCCATTATGGTATTCAACGAACAATTCCCATGTAGAGCGAGAGTTGAGGCTAGCGCTCTAATTTCGTGAGGATTAGAAGCTCTTGGAGGGTCGCGTCCTACAGCCTTGTAGGCACGTAGTATGACAGTTCTGATCCAGATAGAGATAGTAGTACGTAAGACTTCCGTCGGCGTAGCTGTAGATATAGGGATAAATAATCTCTTGAATATCCCCTGCTCTATTTGGATCGTTGGAGATATATTTTCAGTGTACTTAACTGGGCATAGTGATAGATCCATCGTTATCATGCGGTCCAAGTATGGATGAGAGAGCTGGGGCGGGAATAATCTGTCTGGTTGACCTGGCAGTTGGTTTTCCCTATAAAATCCCAGCCGAAGTCCCAGATGAGCTATGTTATGAAAATCATCAAAGCGTGTTCTCTCAGTAATCCAGTGTGTGAATCTGACATCCTGGTGGCCGTGAGCTAGTGCTAACAGGATCAAGGTTTTGTGGGTCAGTGATTCAAACGATGTAGATAGCGATGGTTCAAAACCTCACTAGTGAGGTGTTGGAGCATTATATTAGATCCCAAGCTGGAGCGTGAAACTTCCGCTTCTAATCCTCCAATCGAACACTTGTAACAAACCGAGTAACTCTGGCGCTTTGTCAACTTGACGCCCGCTCTCATAGTATGACTGAACTTATAGCTGCCAGATAAATGGACAAGGTTGAGCCTTTTAGATTCTTAGTTTAACGTAGATAACATAAGAAATCTGCCACTTGAGGATGTGTAGCATATCTGGCTGTAAATCCTTTCTTAGCAGCGTGCATTGACAAAACTGTGCCATTTGTCATCGTGATAAGTTACGAAGTCGAAGTTACGCGTGCAAGCGTGACCGCTGTAGCCGCTCTGGCAGAATAACCTCTTATTCAGACATGCCTTGATACAATCCATACGTGAAGTTGGAATGCTTCTGGTGTATCGTGCACTTGTTTGGTGTGCAGATGTATCAATAGATTGGAGCGTTGTGGGAGCTGAAGAATTAGTTTTCCGATTTCTTGTATGAGATCTGGAAACCAAGTTCTCGCTAGCCAGTAGGGCGATACCAAATCAGATGGAGGCTCTGCATTTGACTGATTTTCTGTAAGACTTACTTAGTGCGTCCGTTGCCCATAAAAGCTGAACTTGTTGTACATATTTCTTCTCAGAAATCGTTGACGATATGAGTTTTATTCGCTGTAACAAGGTTGCTGTTCAATTCCGTAATAGAATTGTCTGCAGATCTGCGTTTGGGCTTCCGAAGATTTGGAGCAGGCTGTATCCAGATTAGCTGGTACCGCTGCAATCGGATCAATAGGAGGTAAGGTGAAATAGTCTACATCATCATTCTCCATGACGTAAGTCTTAGTGGAAATCTTCTTCCTTGATGAAAAAAACACGTTGTAACTCATTCACCATCCAGTATCTAATCTCAGCATCTGAGAAAATGATACTTTCCTCCTCTTTTGACGTAGGGTCACATGTCGGAGTCCTAGATCTATAGGAAGATCTATGAGAGGACTGTGATGAACGGACTGACGAGTGGCTAGTGTAAGGAGACCTTGGAGGAGACACCCTCCTCGAACGCTGGGGACTTTGCGAACTCTACTATATCTTCCGAACGTTGGGGGCTTCATGAGCGCTGGGGGCTTCCACGAAGCTCTTCTAGGCGATGAAGATCTTCTAGGCGAGAAGAACTGGAGCCACTTAGCCTTCGCGACCTTCGCGAATGTATCGAGTCAGTGTCCGTATCGACATATGGCTTGCCCAGCGGCCGCCCTTCGTGCATGACAAGGTGCGTGCTCGGGCGCGCTCCTTCTCCTCATGAAGCCTCTTGCAAAAGGTGAGGCTCTAAGCTCCTTCACGGAGGCGCCTGGGATACCTTATGCAAAGAGCTCACTCCGGGCAGGGTTGCCCTTCGCGGAGGCGCGTCTATGGGCTCAGAGGCCCTACGCGAAGCCAAGGCGGGCTCTGAGGCCCTGTATGACTTGATATGGGGTGGGCTCTGAGGCCTCTGTAAGCCGTAGCGGTCTTCCATCACCCTCATTATCTGGTTGATCAAGTCGTCTGAAGCGGTCTGCGTTGATGAGGGATGTCTCTCTGCAGAGGTGACGGGACCCTCAGATAAAATTTCTGGTGATAGTGTCGGCATCTCCGGTTGTGTGCTAATCTGCGCTGAGGTAACAGTCGCAGAAACAAGACGTTTCTTATGACGAGCATCTGGAATGATAATCGGAATGTCATCATCATATAAAGATAATTCTGTGATAGGTAAACTATCGGAGGCAAAATTATTAGATTTTGTAGATTTCCCTTTTGACGTAGCTGTAGACCTAGGGTTCGAAACGTATGTGATGATATGGACGTTTTCCTAGTCTTAGACTGAGAAGACGGCAGGTCTTGAGATGCAGGTCGCTGCTTGGACATAGCGGACTGCGTCCCACGCTATTCTCCGAGGGAACTCAGGCATGCCACCAGCCGGTGGCGGTCGATCAGTCAACATTGACAGGGAATATTAGCTTCTGATCTAATAGCCATGACTGAAGATTGTTTGCAAAGATTTATCTGCCTTCCGTCTAAAAGCGGAACATAAATATTTATCAAAGGCAGAAATTGGTAAATTAATACATAATTTACAACGAGAAACAAAAGAACATGGAGTAATGCAACTAAGGCATTTTAAATGTGGATCAGTAGCGAATAACGTAGTTTACAATCTGTGCAGATTCTCATTAACGTAAACTACTGAACAATCACGGCGAACCGTGAATAAACAGCAGAAACACCATTAATAATCAATGCAAGTTGAATAAGGATACTAGTTACACCTCTATACTAAGTATAAGAGGTACTAAACTAAAAGGATATAGTGTGTTGGGAGACACAGGCGCTCTCACGACCAGCTCACTGGGCGAAGAAGGAGAGAGTGAGGCACATGGGTTCAGGTGGCGCCCTCGTTCCCGCGCTTGTGGAAGGGAGGTAACTCGTGGTCAGTACTAATGAGTGATTTTTTATTGAAGGGAACTTCAATTGGGAGATACAAGTGTTCCACTAGGTTCGCCAGAAGAAGAAGACAAGCAATAAGCATGAGTCAGGATAAGGAAAAATTATCAATTTTAGTCAGAAAATTACATTAGTATTTGTCAGCACCTGTTGTTCACATCTTTTATCCTGATTTCATGTACAAAACAGAAATAGTTGATAATATGTGCTCAATACTTACAGTTGAACCATATTTCTGTGTTAGATGTTCAGAGAAAAGCGAAGCCCTGGCAGATTTGCTTGGACCTGCCCTGACTTGTGGGCTGTATTTGCCAGCATTCTCTGATGCTGCCATTACAAGCTTGGCCGTTCTGGACAATGCCCCGTCCATTTCAACCCCACCCTCCGAGGACCCAGCCAACTTCATGAGACGAGACTTTACAACATCGGGAGAAGCACTTCTGTGTTAACAATGTTTCAGTAGATTATTATTGTAAAAGGATGCAAAGGTGTCGACACATCATCATGATCATCAACACAAATAATCAGATTTTTCCAACACTAAAAAAAACTATACATGCTTAACTTTATGTAACTTTATGCCTTCATCAAAAATTCTCAACAAACTGAACCTAGCTAAACCTAGAACCTCAGTGTGAGGCAGTATTCACGGTTTCAGTTGTTTGTTAGTTGTTTAACACTGCACTCATCAATATTCGAGCTACATGACAGCAGTCTGTAAATACATTGTGTCTGGACCAGACAATCCAGTGATGAACAGCATGAGAATCCATCTACACAATTGTCACATGACATGCCAAGTCAGCAGGCCTGACCACCTGATCCTGTTAGTTGCCTCTTAAGATAAGCATGGGTAGCTGAAGACCAATTCTAACTCGAATCTTCACGGGTCTCTTATTTTATAGATGTGCTGAGCTCTAATCTGGAGTCAAAACAACCTACTGTTTGTTTATTGATGATCCAAAGAAGTGCTTCTGAATGGATGCCACTGAGCTTGTTTTATCTCGAAACTCCAAATGAGGACCATCCTCGTTCCCATCCGATGTTTTTATCTTGCCACCTGCTGCTCGGATCCTCACAAAGGAGAGACCATATTGGACATCTTTACGATAAGGCTGCCGGCAGGTCACCTGGACTCGATCCCACTTTTCAGCCGCTACTCCAGGTGCAAAGTTCTCTGAGAATGAAAAGACAGGCCAGTGAGTTGCGTTTGAAGCCCCTGTATTCCAGTCATATCACATTGTGTCAACCTAAAGTGCTGTTGGTCATAAGCATTCATCACTGAAGTGAAAACGATGACACTAAAATTCAAATCGTCTAAATAGGTTGATCTATCAAACAAAGCATAAATAAATCTTATTGTAGGTAAGACTGTATTTTCACAGCACACACACACACACAAAATTAATGGGATTAGCATATGGTTCATTATACTGTGACCATGATGTCTTCACTGCACCGTAACCTTTCTGACATCACTGAATGAGAACATCAGCAGAACATCACTTCATGTCAGAAATTGATGAAAGTATGTAACAGCATGTAATGTGCCATTTTTTTTACCAAAGAAGGACACTAACATCAAAATGTATAGAAATTAATATGTATTCTAACCATGCTAACACTTATCCATACATGCTTAACATATAATTATAATAAATAAGTAATAATATCAATTATAAAATGTTAACTGTAATTGTTTGGATAAAAACTCTGCCATCTGAAAGGCAAGAAAGCCAGAGAAACGAGAATGATCCAACAAGTCACTTCTATCGAGATTTCTTATAATATAAGAGCGGTGGGGTAGCCTAGTGGTTAAAGCGTTGGCTCGTCACGCCGAAGACCCGGGTTCGATTCCCCACATGGGCACAATGTGTTAAGCCCATTTTCTGGTGTCCCCCGCCATGATATTGCTGGAATATTGCTAAAAGCGGCGTAAAACTAAACTCAGTCAGTCAGTCAGTCTTATAATATAAAGGCTGATATCTCAGGTGAGGCCAGAGATTATCAAGTTCAGACCTTATTTCAGTTCAGGAAATAAATTCATAAAATGTTAACTGTAATCTTCCGTTTATGAAAATCTGAAAAGACAGTGAGTGATTACCTTCTCTTTCTCTATATAGCATGACCAGAAATTATTGAGAATTTTAGGAATATGTTTAATTGGATTTCTAGCATAAACAACCTTGACCAGCTATCAAGTGCTTGGTTTCATTCAAGAGAGACAACTCCGTTAATCCTTTTCCATTAGTTTGTGAAGAGTTATCCCCCTTTGTTTACTTGCTAGCAGACGGCATTTTCAGTGATCCTCAGTATGGATGATTTAGAGAAGAGGAAGTTGATTTTAGAGTATTATAACAAGGACATCAGATCAGCTAAAGTGATTTCAAGTAGAACAGGCATCCTTTGTCCACTGTTTATTGTGTTTTGAAAAATATTGCAAATGGATATGGCATTGAGCACCAAGGAGGCGCAGGTAGGCCCAGAAAATTGACTGTCAGTGACAGGGGGCGGCTTGGTATTCTTGTTTCTAAAAACAAACGAAGGAGTTTAGAAAACTTAAGGATATGATTGATAGAGGAACTGTGGCTGTCTGTAAGGAGACAATTAGAACTGAGCTGCATGCAATGGGTTGGCAGAAAAGTCGAGGAATTCCATCACCGATCATGAAACCTGAACAAAAGGAGCGAAGGTTGAACTGGTGCTTACAGCATAGAAATTTTAACTGGGACAATGTGATTTTCTCAGATGAAAGTTCTGTGTGGCTGTTTCCTAATACACTGAAATTCTGGACCAAACAAACTGAAAAACCTTTGTATCAGCCCAAAGTACAGTCCGAAATTTAACGTGGGGGTGGCATATCTGTGTTAGGGGCAACGCCCTCTGTGTGTATTTGAAGGGAATATGAACAGTGAGCAGTACACAGATATTCTCGAGGGACATTTACTTCCATCTGCTCACGTGTTCTATGGAAATATTTTTGATTTTCCAGCAGGACAACGACCCAAAACATCGTTCAAAGCATTCACAGGCCTGGTTTCGGACCCAAAATATGACATTATAAGATTGGCCAAGCTATAGCCCTGACCCAAAAGCTAATAGAAAATGTTTGGGGACTTATGAAGGAAAGTGTCAATAAGAAAAATCTGACAAATATTGCTGAAATGAAAGAAGAGGTGGTCCGATATTGGGACAGCATGGACCACGACTTTCTAACTTCTTTGATCAGTAGTATGCCCCGCCGCATTGAAGCCTGCATTGCTGCCCATGCTGACTTGACAAAATACTAACTGTTCACCTGTCTTTGAATCTGGAGTTATGTTCTGCTAATATTCACATTTAATACGTGAGTAATGAGTGAAAAAAAATATAAAAAATTACAATCTTAAATTCTCAATAATTTCTGGTTGTACTGTACATGCTATAGCAAGGTATGACTTGGTTGATGAATGTACATTGTATTATCTTAATAGTGTCAGTCATTGCTCATGATATCAGTCACTGGACTGTTTGGTCCAGACTTGTATATTTACACATGAGAATAGTGAGTGAGGCAGTAAGCAACAAACAAACAACATGTGTCACCTGCAGAGAACATCCTCGTCTTGACAATGCCCTGTCCCATCTTGCATTCCACTGGAGTCATCAGGCTTGAGGTAGGGACCAGAGTTCTGTACAGCATGTTCTGAGGCCAGTCAGAATTACCCACTTTGATCTCAATGCTTCCACACCACTGACTGCCTTAACACAGGATCAAATGGTACAGTTTAATAACATTCCATGTTATAACTATGAAATTGAAATTCCCATTGGCAATAGAGCAATTTACTGGTCTTTATGAATGCAAACTAGTCCCTACAGCCACTCAGGTACCATAACTTTTAACAAGACAGACAGACAGACAGAAATCATCTACAACCACTAATACACTAAGTTACAGTCAGTGTCCATTTCAAGATTTTATTTTCAGGGATCCTACATTTCACAAAAAAATCAGTAATGATGCTTGTTTGTTTTGTGTTTTATATGATGCAGTGCAATTCATGCCATGGAATGCTTTTTCCATTTAGTTTGATATAATGATAAGCATGATGTTTACCATTGTTTACTGGGTGGAACTTACTGTGGTGCTTATTTGCTCAGACTCTCATTATATAAGTTTGAAATATAAATTAGATTGCTCCATATCCATGTTTGCTCAGAATTATTGGAGAGTAACCATAGTCACTATGGTTCTCGAGGTGATCTTTACATCGTGTTGCAGGAATGCTGCTTGGATGTAGTCTTGAAATAACATTGCAATGTAAGAGTATTAGGATTATAATATTGAGTGGTAAATAATCAAAGATAATCACCAATATCAATGTAGGCTAACTGACTGGGTTCCTCAAGCTGAAAGATTGCTTGTATCTGCCCTGACTTCTCTTTAGGGTGAGACAACCACTTCTTAAAACCATCTCCTCCAACAAGATTCTGCACCTTGTGATGGTCGTCCTGAAATAAGTAAACACTATGCTGATGTAGGAGATCAACATCTACCGATTTTGCAATAATTTCCTCAAATCGATTACTGTTAGGGCATGCGACTGATTTCACTTGCAATTTCCGAGCTGGGCTAGTCTGGGCCGAGAGCCGCGATGCGGTCCTATAGACTAGAGTCAAGACAACGCGATGAAGTCATACCGTATAGGACCGCATTCCGGCTTTTGGCTAGGCTCGTCTAGTCACTGTCATGACTGTTCTAAACGAAATTTACATCCCATACTTGTGACAATCATGGATCCGAATACAGAACTACTTAATTGAGAAAACTGTAACAAAATCGATTAAATTAAAGTCTTATTAGAAACGGTTAATACCTGTGAAGAAAAAGAAACAACAAATTTGATAGCCACTGGCGCCATATTTGTTTTTCGCGGGATGTTGAACCAAAAATAGTGCATGTTAAATATAACGGAAGACGATTGTTTACTCCAACGATAAATGAGTATTTTTACTACTTTACGACCACTACCGTATGTAATATGAACCTTGCGATTTTTATATACTTCACGGAGTAAACTGCTTGTTTTTGAGTGTTTAATTTACATAGTTATCTTTTTCCGAGATCGTATTTCGAGTTTTGAATTGTTGAGTTCAGTCCAGATGCGTCGTCTGCATTTCAAGTTATTCAACACAAAGTGATTTTGCAAGTGCTTCTCAATGTAGACAAAACCAAAAGTAGAATATCTTCAGTTTGTGTAATGTACCAACTGTTTTGATCCCTTCAGGTGATATTTATACGATCCAATTGTTATTTCATTTTCACTTTTTAGAAATACAGCTGTCCTCACCAGGGTGCTGTTGTTCAAAACAACCTTAGCGCTAAGATCGCTTTGTACAACGGCACCCAGACCCGTGAAGATCCGGTAACCCGTGCTTGTCGTAAGAGGCGACTAACGGGATCGAGTGGACAGGCGCGCTGACTTGGTTGGTGCATGTCATCGTATCCCAATTGTATAGATCGATGCTCATCCTGTAGGCTGTTGATCACAGGACTGTATGGTCCAGACTCGATAATTTACAGACCGCCGCCGTATAGCGGGAATATTTGCCGAGTGCGGTGTAAATTCACTCACTCACTAGATCTTGTCCTCACCTATTCCTTTTGCTTGTAGGACTACTATGCTAATGTCTGTGGAAAAAAAAAAAAAGAACGTCTGGTCCCTGAAGCTTTTTCAAGATACAGTCCACATTAAATGACATTTTATGCTTCAACAAGATTCAACAACACCTAATTTCAGATAGAATCTGGGCGAAAACTAAACTGAATCTGTCCAACTATTTCAAAGTCAGCTCTCCTTTAGAATTTCCACACAATGAATTCTCAGCCACATGCCAACAGTCTTAAAAATGTTGCTTGACAATTCTCCTAAACATATTCCTGGCAGGAGAGTCTGAAATTCATAGCAAACTCATCTTTACAATTTTCCTCTTTTTTTCAAACTGTCATACTGGCATGCCCATTACTCCAAAGTATATATTTTTGGCTCCACAATAAATATTAACTGTTTTCATATGTATCGTGACATGTGACTGATACCTTGTGTTTTGTTTTTGTTTTGCGACCTCATATACTGGATGAAGTAAGCTTGAGCTTGGAAGACACAGGTTAATGATGGACAGCATCTTCCTTTCATCTAACATCTCACAATCGGATGGGTAGTATTTAGTTATTTCATTAATAAGCACTGAATGAAATTTGCAAATGTAGCCACACTTAAATTCAACTATTTCAAAGTACCAGTTGAAGTCTGTATTTCTAAAGAAAAAGGCTTCTTATTTGTCAGTGAGGAGATAGGTGCCATTTGTGGTATTTATGAACTGCTGAGAAGTGATCAGTTTTAGATATAATCCTTTATACATGTAAATAGTTCTGCTTAAAAACACTCTTCTGTTAAACTCAATTACAAAGACATATAATTGCCAATTTCATTGCTAAATAATTCTGAATGAAGAATGAATATAATGTCACTGAATAAACATGTTTGTTAAAAGGTTGTCTACTCAGAAAAGGAAATGGTCTGGGATACCGGAACCTCCAACAGACATTGATGATGAAATCTTGTCCAGCTCTTTCTTCTCAGAATTACCTACATCAGAAGTGTTCTACATCTCTCAGTCCCAGAAGAAACCAATATCACCTCTTATTTTCAAATCTCAAGGAAAAGGTACTTGGTTAATAAAACATCTTTAGGCAACTCAAGAATGTTGTCAGGACTGCCTGATCAGATGTTTTTTGCTCACCTGACTGAAATGATATTCAGCTGGCATTATTTTTTGTGTTTATCTGCAACTAAACTGTACTGGTCTCACTCCTTACTATTTTCTCAGGAAATAAAACTGTCCTATATTGTCATATTATATATTGTATGACACATTGTATGGTATAATCTACTTTTTAAGCTAACACATGTTATATTTAGGATTATACTTTGTCAGTAAAGTACAGATGCTTGTATGAACCTGGGATTCAAACCCACAGTCAGAGTGAGGCACCTACTCACCAGCATACAAAGTCAGCAATCTAACACTGTTACCCACTATTACATTTGACCACTTTCTAAATGGCATTGTGTCTTCATACTTTTTAAAAGTTTGCAGAGTTCAAACTCTCTTTAAGAATGGTAGAATTGTTTGTGTTATATGTATGATGAAAAATTGCCTTTGATTTCTTGGTTGTTTGGACCTTCTTACCAAACTTCAATTATTTAAATGTATCGAAACACAACTGCTATACATTTCTCATTTAATTTTCAGAAAATGCTTTTCTACAGATGAAATGTCAGTCTCAAACAAGTTTCAAGTAAGATCACACTTTCAGAGCAGTATGATTATATTTTATGTACTCCCAGCAGAAAATGAAGCAACTGATTAAGAAGGTGTGATGATGACAAAGGTCTGTGAAAATGTATGAAGATCAATATATGGCTGGTTGAAAATGTTTGGCGAAACATGCATGACAGTTTCATGGCATACTGCTTATAAATTTGACTATGGTTGCCCTTGCTGACTTGAAAAGTTACCCCAAACTGGGTTATCTTGGTGGGTGCTGGGTCTCTGGTGAGCAGTCTTTGCCTGAGATCATCTGAAACATGCTGAAGCTTCGGACATGTCCCCTTAAGCTTCGGACATGTCAGGGGACTTAGTGGGCCGCTGGTTTATATGTTTCCAGATCAGAGATAATCAGCAATAACCTGGGCACGATATGGTCTGGTACTGTCATCTTGCATTTAAAGATTCTTAGCAAATGTAATGACAGGATGCAAAATTTCAATACCATATCACTGGCCAGTCAAATCCACATCCATTCACAGTAATCAAATCGGTTTGCCTCTTACATGAATTAATGCCCCACACCATGACACTACCTGTCCCATACATATCAGTGTCATACCCTCACGTAACGTTCTCCGCAATGTCATATAACAATAATCTTGCCATCTGTGGAGGCAAGACCTTGATTTATGGATTATTCCGTAAGGTCATCATTTTATACATGCCACCTCTGGTTTTGCATAGCCTACCCTAATTTTTGTAAGGGTACAATGTACACCTCAACAAGAGCTACATTCTTATAATAAGTTCCTTATTTTTTGTCAGTGGTATGTTTGTAATTTACAGTATTTTTTGTGTATTGTCAATAAAATTGTCTATCAAACTGTAAACATTTTCATAAGGCCTATAAACAGTTACGTTTACAAGCCAAGATTGTCTTGATATCAAGTCTCTGACAAGATCTAAGAAATGTTATTAATATTCCTTTCCTTACATATTTGGTTTTGTCAATTATACTACAGGTGATGTCTTTTCTTAAATTTTGATTCAGAAATCAACTTCCAAGGCATCCCACCTTTAAGCCTCCCCAGAAGCAAGCCTTTAACCCTGTATACCAAAGAGAATCTGAGGATGATAACCTCATGGACTATGACATCCAACAGAAACCATCACTCAGCATCATACCTGGTCAAGGACTCTCAGGTGTAGACAAGCGATCTCAGTCATTAGTGATACACAGGAGGTGGGAATTTATGGACAATAAAACTTATGTCAAGTCTTATGTCAACCCATCATTTAACCCAGAAGTTGATCCAGAAGATGATGAAATGCTGGGTGGGTTGACTCCACCAAAAAGAAGATGTTTCCAGTTTTCACAAGCACATAATTCAGATTTTCAGCCAGAAAAGTCAAAGATTTCATCTTTCAGTCATCCATCAGAAACAGGAAATAGAAAGATGGTCTCAGACATTTCACGAACATGTCCACAAAAGGACAAAGGGTCCAAGTTTTCCACACCATACATCTCATCAAGGAGAAAGTTTGATGCTTCAGATAGTGGGTTCTGTGAGCCTAGTCCAGTTGATTCGCTCAACACTCCTGCCTGTCTTATTGTTCCAAGTATGTATACACTACTATCTACTTTATTTATATGTGAGAAATAATTATGACAACTGTCTGGGGGCACAGTCCAGGTGTATGGTTCCGATAAACCTGGAGACATTATCTGGGCAATCTGGGATTTCACCCTACTATCCTTGGTTTCTATGTGCTGAACCGTAGCAACACTGACCAGCGAATTGTAGTATCGGTTACCTGTGGCCGCCTCAAGGCATGGAAGTATGATACAGAATGTGCAGGACTCAGACTGATTCCGTTACTGATTGATTGTAATCCAGAATAGAGATACATTAAAAATGATAATATCTTGGTATAATGAAAATATGTATAATAACATTGAAACATGTTCTATGTTATCCCATTGTCATTTACGAATTGATTGAAATTATGATATATTTTTCCAGATGCAGACAATGGGCAAACAAGACTGCGTTCAGTTGAAGAAATTCATATCCTTGGAAAATTACATTGAGAATTACTGATGAATAGAGAATATCACACTCATTTTCTATATCAAATATATCAACACAAGTCAATAAAATTTTAACATACCAAGGCTTGTTGAGGCATGTGTAATTCTTGTCAACATGTGTTGATATAATTGATATCAAAAGACAAAAATTGATATCAAAAGTTTGAGATTCTATTTATCATCTAATACCATACTCCTTATGTGTTTGGTCATAAGTAGTGTCTTGAGTGTAAAAAATATAGCCAACCAGCTTCAGTGACAGAGAGATTAATTACATCATGGTAACCAATGACCTCACAAAGGTCTGTAAAGCATTGGTATGCGATTTCATTGTCATGTTTCTTAACCTCACCAAAGCTCTTTCTCCTTTGAAAAAATAGTTTGGGATATTCCTTGTACTTGTCATAACCCAATTGTTTATAGATTGAGATAGTCCTTAGATTCAAATACCATAGGAGAAAATCGCGAGGAAATTTCTCCTCATGGTTTTGAAAAATGAAATGACCGTGTAAAATTAAAGGGCAGGTGTGACAATTCACCAGGAATGGTGCCATTCTTATTTCTGGGTTTCACTATGCTTAACTCATAACACAGTTTTGAATACAGGTAATAAACAACTAAATGAAAATCGCATATTTCCTGAACATGTTTTACCTGCCAGTTTTAGGGAGGTGTTTGATTTTCCATACTTCAACATGGTGCAGTCAATGGTTCTAGACGATGTAAGTAACAAACTGATTATGAAAAGTTCAAAATTAGTAATACATGGTGAAGGTCCATGTATTGGTGAACACACTTAGTGGACGTTGTGACGATAGAGACTATGAATGAAAACATTATTGCAGGTGTGAGAGAGGTGTCATCACCTGTGACAGTGTCATACACTCGCCGCTGACTGTAAAAGCAGACTACCTGAAAATACATATTGTGTTTGTCTCTGCATGAGATTTAAAACCAAATTTGAAAACAAAAGGAAGAAAACACTGGAAGTCCACATCTAACATTATTTGAAGGACTAATGGTCAGGCTACTTGACAATACTTGACACTGAGACCCCTAAATACAAATTAGCTTTGGAATTTCCTGATTCCTTGGATAATGTGTTGGAAATACATATAACGTTTATTGTTGATGCTTGGAGAAACAATTTTTTTGTCTTGTGCATTCTCATGGTTCAAATTAAGACTGCAGATCATGTTAACGATTGAGGAAATTAGTTGTTCATCTTGTGCAGCCTAATGGTTCAAAGTGATCTTGGGCTTGAAACAAAGCTCAGAAGTCATGTACTTCCCTCACTTATGATTGTTTACAAAATCAGTATGACATGTATACACACATACACATTATTTATATTAATGATAATATCTATTAATTTCCTTGTCCTGCAAATAGTACATTTTTTAATATAATGATAATGTCCTTTGTACATGATGAAGTTCATTAAACAGCAGTTGACACATGTACATGTTTGTAGTCTACTTTAAGTGATACTCTGATTCCCATTCTGACAGGTGCTCTACACGGACAAGCCACTGGTGGTGTCTGCACCGACAGGAGCTGGGAAGACAGTGATATTTGAACTTGCCATCACCAGATTGCTCAATAAGTTTGGGGAAATCAAGCAAAATTGGAAAATTGTTTATGGTAACTTGAACAGTTTGTTTCCTGTATGAAGCCTTTTGTGCCCCCTGCAGAACATCTGCAATGTGTTAGAAATAGGGTGATATAAGTGAAATAATTGTTGAATGCTTTTGCTTAGGTGTTTCAGAATGAATTGGATATTGTCACATGAAACCTTTCAAATAATAAATATCATGTCCTGAGCTCATCATTAAGTCTCCATGTGGATTTCGGTGTACAAATGGTCCCAAACAGTGTATGCTGATCTCAAAAGGTGACTGATCCTGAGTGTTAGACACAGTGACTTGGCCATCTAATCATTGTCAACCAGCTGAATGTCTGGTACAGATGCAGTTATTGACAGTCCACCATCATATAACTGGAATATTGCTGAATGCAGCATTAAACAACAAATAAAGTTGTCAACTAAAGTACTGTTGGAAATGCTAGAAAAATGCCTTTTAACCTTAATATCTTTATAAAGGTGATAAATGTACTATGTTGTCAATATATCAACTCGCCTAAAGTGTACCTAATTTTTATTTCAATCGATTTAACATTCACATGCATTTAAAGGGCAGTTTACAGGAGAGAATTTGGTACCAAAACAGCAACTAAGATTTTTTCAGAGTTCAATAACAGAAATCTGAAATAGTCTTTACATTCATGCTAATAATACAGATGGTGTAAAAATATGAATTAACGTTTTTCCTAAACAAATAAATGTTGAATGTTTGTGTCATGCATGCACATCTTATCACAGCGTCCACTATGGCCAACGATTTGCAGTCGATTGTTGCAAAGGTTTATGAGTTTTTTTCTGCTTGAAAAAGACAGAGGTAAACCTTTCATTAGTTTAGAAAGGGTTTATTAAAGAACTTGTAGAGCTTTTGGTATGTCTTACCAACAAGTTTACAATATTGTAAACAAATCAGACAAGACAGGGACTGTCTCAAAAGCAAAACCAGGACGTAAAACCATCCTTGACAACTTTGACAAGGAAGTGCTTAGACGGGCGGTCTACAAACTTTATGAGAATAATAATATATATATTCTAAAGAAGCTACACCAGTGACTTCGTTAAATCTTTGGCCAATGTTCACAACTATATTAAACTGACCGAATTACATCCATATTTTTTCAATGAAATATACTGTTGACATGCAAAACATTTATCAAAACGTTGCACATTTCTTCAATCAATCGATAAGATAACAAAAGTGATAGGATTCTTTCCAATGTACAGTAATTCGTATGTTTATGTATGTTTATTTCAAAACAAACACACATACACAAATGATCCCTTACATAACCAATGCATTATACTATACGTACACATATTCAACATTTTGAAGAAAACATCTATCGAGATGACCCTCCTTTTCTCATTCTCATCTTTGTGACCAGTAGAAGCGTGTGCTCAGGTGTCAATTTCACCTGTCATTACCGTGCATGCTGATGGCGTAACACAGGCAGTTAATGTTTGTATCAAATAACGCGTCCCACTAGCCCTTATTTTTCTAAGTTTTTGGTATTTTCATCAGTAAAACACATTTTAGAGCATGTCTCAAAATTTATTCCCTCGGTTTAAATTAGGTAGATGTTTCTTGAAGTGATATTTGTTATTTAAGTAACTGTAATACCTCTGAATTTGATATATCAAATCAAATGCTGCCAAAAGAACTGATCATTTGAAATCTTTATTTTCCCTGATTGTGTTCTCGGTTGTTTAGCACAGTACTCATGCAGGTATTCCAACAGTATGATATAACACATCCCTTCATTTTGACTGACACCATAACACTTAAACACTGTAAAACTCTCCCTCCCTCCCTCACTCACTCACTCACTCACTCACTCACTCACTCGCCTGGCAGACATCTTTTCAGTATTCTCTCTGTGCAGGAAAAATGGGACAGTATGTCTAGGAAGTGGAAAGATAACAGGTCATTGTTCCAGACAATATCCCTGTTTCTTATCGATGAGGTATGTAATAAATGTTCAGATAAGAGAAATATTATGTTCTTTGTTTTAAAACTTTGTAACCTATCCTGAGTGCTTATATTGAATATTGTTATGTTTTAGGGCTGGGATGAGTCCATATTTACAAAGCAGGTACTCATCACCTACTGCCTGACCCTTACTACTATTCAAAGACTATTCATATGCACATGTAATACAGTCTGATCATGCATATACAGAAGTTGACAGAAGCTTTATCTTGATAAGCATGTAAGAGTCAGAGGAATGCATGTAATGTCAGAAAGAAATCTGTACGGTAGCGGATTTGACTGTAACCTTGGAGTTCTATTGTTATTGTTATCACATGGGTAGTCCCGTGGGTAGCCAGGTCATACTACCTGTGAAGATCTGAGTTAGAATTAGTCTTCAGCAAGCCATACTTGTCGTAAGAGATGACTAATAGGATCGGGTGGTCAGACTTGCTGACTTGGTTGACATATGTCATTGTTTACCAATTGGGTAGAATGATGCTCATGCTGTTTGGGATTGTCTGGTCTAGACTTGATTATTTACAGACTACCGTCATATACCTGGAATATTGCTGAGTGTGGTATTAAACAACAAACAAACCCAGGTCGCACTGACTGGTACCCACCTGACAACCTGAGTCACCATTTCCAGCCCTGTTGTGTATTACTGATATAATTATTGATTTACTGTTTACAGATCCACATCTTGAATGACAGCACAAGGGGGTCAACAGTAGAGGCTGTGGTCAGTAGGATGAAGACCCTAAGGCTCACTGACAGAGCCACTGACCGGCCTGTCATGAGATTTGTTGGAGTCTCGGCTACCATCCCCAACATTGAAGATGTAGGTTCTGTTGTTTATCACTCCTAAATGTCCTTTGGGACCAGGGCCCCCGTTCCTCAAAGCGATCGTAGCGCTACGACAGTCGTAAGTCTATGTTAAAGTATGGGAGTTACGAGTGTCGTAGCGCTACGATCGCTTTGAGGAACGGGGCCCAGTTGTCTTGTGTTACAGGTTTTATGATAACAATACTTTGTATTGAAACTGTAAGAGTTAAGCACCATTGAACAGCATTTAACTGGAAGGCGGGACATGAAGTATGATGTGCATTATTATTGCTATTGCTACTACGACTACGACGACGGCCATGACCACTAAAACCACTACTGGTGCAACCACTACTGCTACAACTACAACTAATTGCGTTATTGAAACTCATGCCCTCATTGCAAAATATCTGTATCTGCTCTTAGTGTCCTTATCTTGCCTCCTTGGTGTTATCAATTTAATCCTAAAGAAAAGAAAACAGATTAACATCACCAAATGGAACACACGTCTTGACAACCTGAAGAATTTTGGTTCTCATTACTTTGTCTTTCCAGATTGCTACATGGCTTGGGAATGCAGAAAACCCAGCAACAAGCTTCAAGTACATTTGTATATTTGTATATTGACATGAGTTATCATTTTGCCTTTCATTTGTTACACCAATTTTAATATCTTTGAATGAATACTTGAAGGTGTTTGATAATTTCAACAATAATTTGTCATATATTAAGTGCTGTACATATTACCTTCTTACTTTTTGCAGCCATGAAATTGTCTACAACATGAAAACAACACATATCTCTTATTATTACATGGTTTATGAACTGTCTATATGAATGGAATGATCTGTAGAATTGCAATTTTAAAACATAAACTCTTCCATAATTTCATAACTACAAGCAGTGCTTTCTTTCAAGTTTTTGTAGAGGTACTGACTATAGTGTTAAGAAATAAGTTTATATTTACATATATTTCAACCTACAACAATAAATAAATCCACATTATCATCTGTAATTATGCAACAATGAATTTAGAACAATTTTGCATTTCAGATTAGGGGAAAAGTACCGGCCTGTGAGGCTACAGAAGATTGTGGTTGGCTACCCTTTCAAGCCAGGCTCTTCTGACTTCAGATTTGATATGAATCTAGCCTACCGACTGAAGAGTATCATAGAGACATATTCCAACAACAAGCCCTCCCTCGTGGTAATCTCTGACACATATGTGTATCAGTTTAACAATCATTGAGAAGTATGTATAGAATGGTTACTCACAACAAATATGATATAACAGATGTTATATTTGGGATTACACTTTCTTAGTAAAGTACAAATTCTCGTACTTTTTGGATTGAGTCCCATCCGGGATTCGAACCCACACCCTCAGAGTCAGGCACCAAATCGCCAGCACACAAAGTCAGCCGCCTAACCCGCTCAGCCACCGCAACTTCCACAAAATGGAAGTCGGACAACTGGTAGTTTAGACTGTGGACTTTGTGTACCCCTCTGATAAGTGTAAATTGGCACGGCTCCCACGGCGAAAGCTATGATTACACAATGCCATTTTAGAAAGTGGTCAAATGCAACATATGTTATATTTGGGATTACACTTTCTTAGTAAAGTACAAACTTTACTAAGAAAGTGTAATCCCCCAAATATGATATAGTCATTGAAAATTACGCCATATTAAAACAAAGTATATGCTGCAGCTTCACACTACCATTCTAAGGCAGGGAATGTATACAGACATGCCAACCATTATGATTCTTGCAAAAGCTAATAAAATACTTGGCTCCAAACAGTGCCAGTTCATTGGCATTTTAGTGTTGATTTTGACTGACATCAATTTCATTTGCAGTGTTTTTTATTCTTTACAAAAATACAGTTCTTGACATCAAATTATTAGTTTGCATCGCTGCTAAGCTCACACATCTGGGTGTGAGGGTGGTGAACTCTAGAATATTTTTTATTCGGGCCTTCTATTCTCTAAAGTAAGAGACCCATGGATGGTCCTGGTTAGAATATTGATCTTCAGTAATCCATGCTTGTCGTAAGAGGCGACTAACGGGATCGGGTGGTCAGGCTCGCTGACTTGGTTGACACATGTCATTGGTTCCCAATTGCGCAGATCAATGCTCATGCTGTTGATCACTGGATTGTCTGGTCCAGCTGGAATATTGCTGAGTGTGGCGTAAAACTAAACTCACTCACTCACTCACTCTAAAGTAAGAGTGCGGGTGAGTTGTATCTTATGGCACTTCTAACAATATTCAACCAATATTACGTGGACACCTGAGGTGGGCTTCATACATTGCACCAATGTTGGAAATCAACATGTGACATCCATGCCACAAGCAATGTTCTGTCCATGAGGCTACCCACAGCTCTGGACAGACGAGATTACTTTCGTTATACATGTTGCCCCTGTCTGCTGTAGTTCTGCTCCTCCCGCAAGAGTGTTGAACAGAGTGCTGACATCCTGAGGAAGGAGCTTCATGGACGGTCTCTTGTGAAGCCACAGTTCCGGGAGGCGGTCAGCAAGACATGCCAGCTCATCAGAGAAACTAAAATTGCAGGTATGTGGGACTGCACCCATTAAGAAAAGAGCTTTTAAAGGTTGTGACAAGTATTTATTACAGACCTTGTTGAAAAATAATGACAAACACAGATCTAAATCCAACTGAACTCTCTTCCGAGCTGCAAACTCCAAAGACAAGTGAGATAAGGTTTCTGCAAGTTCTCTGTACTTGTCTTCAAGGAAATGAATTTCTCAAGCTGGTGAACATATGTTTGTATAGATATGGTGCGTGTCGGCATTGGGGTACATCATGCCGGCCTGAGTACTGCTGAAAGGAGACATGTGGAAGAGCTGTTCAGGAATGCCATGCTGCCTGTTCTTGGTATGGGTGACCCTTATTGTCCTCTCTCAGCCACAGTATCATGTGATTAACATTTGACAGATTGTAGAGAAGCAGATGATTTATACTTCTTGTTAGTTGTTAGCTTACTGGACTGAAAGTCAATTTAGCTTATGTCATGTTTGTCCATCATTTGTTGTCTGTCAGCTGAAATGTTACTGACATGGTGAGTGAGTGAGTTTAGTTTTACGCCGCACTCAGCAGTATTACAGCTATATGGCGGCGGTCTGTAAATAATCGAGTCTGGACCAGACAATCCTGTGATCAACAGCATGAGCATCGATTTGCGCAATTGGGAACCGATGACATGTGTCAACCAAGTCAGCGAGCCTGACCACCCGATCCCGTTAGTCGCCTCTTATGACAAGCATAGTCGCCTTTTGTAGCAAGCATGGGTTGCTGAAGACCTATTCTACCCCGGATCTTCACGGGTCTACTGACATGGTACCACCATGGTATGATAATACCCTGTTTTGTGTTAGAGCTTTGAATCACATTTTCAATATGGCCACTATGGCATCCATATTGAAAAACATATTTATTGTCATTATTTGATTCTTCATGTACATAATGTCATAATATTTAGAACAATTGTAGTTGTTAGTAGGGCTTGACATACATGTTTTGTTTTGAATTGTTATCCTAATTAATTTTGGTCATTATTTGTAGTATCAACCAGCACATTGGCGATGGGTGTAAACCTGCCAGCCCACCTGGTGGTGATCAAGTCTACAGTGTTCTACAGCATGGGGTCCCCCACCGAGTACTCAAACTCGCAGGTTCTGCAGATGATAGGCCGAGCGGGGAGACCACAGGTAGAGTAGGTGCAGGTGATAGGCCGTGCATGGAGACCACAGGCTGAGTTTGCGAAATTAGTGTCATTTGAGGCAGAAAATATTTCGTCATGCTTTAAACATGTGCATGTGGAATCAGGATTAAACAAATGTACATGTGTTATACATGCAATCACCCATGTAATACATGCAATCCCCTATGTAATACATGCAAGCACCTATGTAATACATGCAAGCACCTGTCTTACATATTGCAGTATTTACTCCATTGACCCCTTAGATCATTGATATCATTAGAATGATACCATATGTGAAACATTTTTTTGTACCTTTTGTGAACATTTTGTATTTGTGGATACTTTAGTTACTCCATAGTCAAAATCCTGGCACTACTGCAGTATTATTTCATGAATAGGTGCTATCACTTTAAATCTGTTTCATAGATTATGGAATCTGTTTTGTGATCTGTGTTGAAACTGTCATGCATCATTTTCTGTCTGACACATTAATAATTGTTAATTCAGTCATCTGTAGACCTTTATAATAGCCTGAACTATTATCTCCTTACATCCTTGCAGTTCGACACCTCGGCTACAGCTGTCATCATGACAAAGTCTGATACAAAGGTATTGCTTCTGAGAAAAACAACAATGTGAAAATGATATTTTTGAGGCATGTTGATAGAAAAACTAAAATATGGAAAATACGCAAAATTTGAGTAGTTTCAATATCACATGTAATGTGACAGAATATATTTTGTTTACCTTTCAGTCAAAGTATGAAAACCTGATGAATGGCACACAAAGGATTGAAAGCAGGTAAGAGACTTGGTAATACTAATCAATGAAGTTATAGAAATTAAAATATATAATCAACTTGTATGTTTATGTTTTATTATATGATTTTCCATCATATTGGGGAGCCTAAGTGGCCCAGCCTGAGGGCCAACAAGTATTCGGTGAATCGAATCATATCCTTCATTTTTCACGGTCATTAGAATCAAATATTTAAGAGTGTTTTTCAGTTGGAACTAGTTTGTTATCCCCCGCAACACATTTTGCGGGGGGTATTAAAATGGACTCCGTCCGTGCATGCGTCCGTCCGTCCGTGCACATTTTTCTTTTCCAGAGCAGAACTCTAAAACCGTTCCATATGTCTTCACCAAACTTGGCACATAGATAGATCTGGTGGTGTACTGGTGCCTTTTGGTAGTTTTGGATTTCTGAATAAAATATTTTGGCGTTTCCATGGCAACAAGTTTGACTTAGCCTGAAATTGTGGTAGTGCTCTTTTCCGGAGCTGAACTCTAAAACTGTTCACTATTTCTTCACCAAACTTGGCACATAGATTGGTCTGGTGGTGTACTGGTGCCTTTTGGTAGTTTTGGAATTCTGAATAAAATATTTTTGGCCTTTCCATGGCAACAAGTTTGACTAAAACTGAAATTAGTGGTATTGCTCTTATCGGAGCAGAACTCGAAAACCGTTCAATATTTCTTCACCAAACTTGGCACATAGATTGGTCTGGTGGTGTACTGGTGCCTTTTGGTAGTTTTGGAATTCTGAATAAAATATTTTTGGCCTCTCCATGGCAACAAGTTTGACTAAAACTGAAATTAGTGGTATTGCTCTTATCGGAGCAGAACTCGAAAACCGTTCAATATTTCTTCACCAAACTTGGCACATAGATTGGTCTGGTGGTGTACTGGTGCCTTTTGGTAGTTATGGAATTCTGAATAAAATATTTTTGGCCTTTCCATGGCAACAAGTTTGTCTTACTCTCCTTCCACTTTTCTATATACACACCTAAATATTTGACATAATCATAACTCGTACACATAATCATGAAGAGTATTTTGCCTTTGCGGGGGATATTGATGACTTTGTCTTCTTGTTGTTTATTTATATAAGATATGCAAAATGGAACATATCCAAGCCACGCTGTAGTATAACTTGTGTCTTTTGTGCCATGGCCCTTTATTGCATCATCAGTAGGCTATAAGTGATGTTGTTTGCAAAGCATAATTGTTTTGCTTTGCAGGAAATATAAATATAATAATAATAATAGCATATTTGTAACGCGTATATATCCATGCTTATGCATGCTCAAAGCTCACAAATAAAAATGCAAGTAAGGCAAAGAGCTACAGTCCAAAGGCTATCTTGAACATGTGTGTTTTTAGATTGGATTTAAAGTTATGACTCAAATGTTTCAACCTAAGCAACTACATGACATGTTTGATATTTTCATTCCTTCATGAACAAATATTTGTATTCTTTGGTATAAGTTTGCAAAGATATCGTATTCATGTCATAGTGCATTCATTGCAGCCCTAGTGTTGACCCAAGTCATGTTTCTAGGTTTGCCAGCACCTTACCCATGCTTGTGGGTTTCACCAATATGGTTCTAGACCTTTATTACTTCAGGCTTTCTTCCCATTTTAAGATGACACACCATGATGTAAAACTGGAATAGTGTTCAAAGCTGCATTAAAGCAATATTACTTGCATTTCAAGGTAGTTAAACCTAAAGTACAAGAATATGATACTAATATTTTGTGATATGTTCAAGCACAAAGACTGAGAATATGAAACATCATTTAGAGAAAATTAGGATGTTGTATAGATTGTGTTCTATTTGTCCATTGCCATTGTAACCAATCTGGGCCAGTAACTACTGGCTTCCCTTGTGATCTTATCACTGTTGTTGTTTCACATGTTTCTATAAAGTTATCTGTTTCCTACTTGTTTCATTCACCTGATGAAGGAGTAAGAAGATACTCTGAAACGTTGTGTTCCTCAAAATAAAGAATTTGACGTCCATAAATTCTTGCCTTTCTCCCGTTTCCTGTTGGTGATTTGGAGCTGTCCTGCCATGGTGTAACTTTTCATGGCAGCAATATGCTTGGATTGCACATTATGCAAGGAGATGAAAAATGAGTCCACACTGATCCAAGGACTTCTATAATAATTAGATCTGTCATGGTCTAAACGCATTTGAGCAGTTATCAATTATACAAAATCATTATATAATTAAATCAGTACATATGAACCTGACCCTCCCCCTGTTCCTGTAGCCTTCACAAGCACCTGATCGAGCACCTGAACGCTGAAGTCGTCCTGCACACTATCACTGACATGGCCCTGGCTGTGGAGTGGATCAGACACACCTTTCTGTATGTCCGCATCATGCAGAACCCAACACACTATGGTAAAGATGTTTGTTGTTATTTGTGAGTGAGTGCGTATGGTTTTATGCCGCTTTTAGCAATATTCCAGCAATATCACCAGAAATGGGCTTCACACAATGTACCCATGTGGGAAATCGAACCCGGGTCTTCGGCGTGACAAGTAGACCACAAGGCTACCCGTTGTTATATGTACATTCAGTAATATTCCTGCTTCAGGATGCCTCCCTTTAATAATTGAGTTTGGATGAGACAGTGATCGACATAATGAACATTGATCCACCAAATATTGGGATAAGATAGCATGTAATCAAACAAACATTGCATATACTTTTTACCAGCAGATGAATGCTAATGAATGAATGATCAGTGTGTATACTTCTGTCATTGAAATGAATAAAGATAGTTTCATGATGACATGCACAATCAGCAGAACTGCTCAATAAAATGAGCTCAATGCCTATAGACATGATTTTCTTGCCAAACTTGTACATTCAGGATATTGTTAATCAAAGCACTGCCCTTTCGTCCAGGATATCCCACTGGTTTGGACAGAAAACAAGTTGAAAAACGACTTGAAGGTATGATAACATGGCTGCATTAGTTTCAAACAAATATACTGAATATTAAATATTCAAATATCTTTTTAACAATTTAGATGTTATCATATTCTTTGGGTATATGGTGTGATGTACCCTGTTTGTGAATCTAGTTCCATGAAACAAATGTGAGAAGAGACATGTGCATTCTGAAGAGAACTTTTGTGTTTGTTTTGCATAATTAAAGGGTCCATTTTGACTAAAATGTTCATATTGTCTTGTATAATTGGATCCAATGCTGTATTGAACCTGTGGTTATTCCTGCTGACATTTTCAGATCTTTGTCTGCAAAACCTGAATAAACTGGCTGACTTCAAACTTGTAACCATGGACGAGGAAACTTTTGCCATTCTACCAACAGGTGATCACCAGTGACAGAATAATTAAGATTAAATTGTCCTATGATGGTTGCCACTTGTCAGTAGTGACATGGCAACTCAAGGCAAGGTGTCCTTTTGTATGGAATTGAACCAAGTCATTGTGCTTAATGAGAATTCCCACTAACACTCTGAATTTTAATTGGTCCACTGCAACCTATATTTGTCATAAAACGTGACCAAAAGGATTGGATGGTCAGGTTCGTTGACTAATGGGTGAATGCTTGTCATCCTACCCATACAGTTTGGATTGCTGCTCATAATAATAGGAGCGGTGGGGTAGACTAGTGCTTAAAGCGTTCGCTCGTCACGCCGAAGACCCGGGTTCGATTCCCCACATGGGTACAATGTGTGAAGCCCATTTCTGGTGTCCCCAGCCGTGATATAGCTGGAATATGGTTAAAAACGGCGTAAAACTGAACTCACTCACTCACTCATAATAATAATAACAACTTGACTACTGCCCCAACCCAGTAATAATGGATGTCGAAAATTTTAGTTATTTAGATTAGCTGTATTTCGTCTTATGGTAAAGAAGAATGCTTTATTCTGTGTAGTCCTCTGTCCCACAATACAAGTAAAGTACTTGTTGAATATTTGTTTTAGCCTATTTATATCTACATGATTTATATTGTTTTCATAAATTACTTACAGATCATTAAAAAGCTCAATTCACATCCTCAGGAGTTTTTTTATACATCATAAAGTCTTGTTTGTATCTATTTTTAGTTATGATTGTATTATATATTCAGACAGTATAATATTCTTTATGGGGGAATTTGTCTGTTTTAAACAGTATTAGAAGCCCTTTTGCATGTTGCCTCACATTCATTATTGAATGTATGAACCAAGGTATTAATGTTTATAGGTTGTAACAAAAAAATACACGATGTTACATAGTGGCATGAATGAAGGAAGGAAGGAAGGAAGGTAGATTTAGCATCAAACTTGCTGTTTTAAAAAAATCTAAATAAAACTGTATGTGAAATATCCAAATGAAATATGTACCAATAAAAATTATAAACATTATATCTTCCATCGTAAAAACACGCAAACTTTTGTTTGAATTACTTTAGGGACTGCTCATTTATTATGGGGGAAGGGGCAGGTGAGGGATAATAACAAAATGAGGCAGATGGGTGTCACCTGAATATATCAACTATATGGCAGGGAACATGAAAAAATTACAAGTACATACTGTTCTTCAAAATAAAAAGGAACAGCAAAAAATTCATCCCCTTAACCCCTCCATCCAAACACACCTGTTTGAAAATTTAGCAGTCCAGTAGTTCTGCTTATATTTAGTTTACATTTGTGGGTTGTCAATTTTGTATAATACTGTGTAGTTGTATTTAACAATACATGACCTTCTAAATGCTGACAATGTGTTCTACGCAGAGACAGGGAAGCTGATGGCAAGATACTGTATTGCCTTTGAAACAATGAAGATGTTTGATTCTGTCAATGGAGAGGAAACCATCAAGGATATGGTAAATAGAACTGCTCAGATGCTTTATTGGCATTTTAGAAGATGATATTTGATGAACATAGAGATTTTTTCTGGGTTACATCTTCTTTTTATTCTCGAGTACAACGTTTCAGGGCTTGTTCAGTTTGTTAAATTTGTGAAATGTTTTTACTCACCATCGTTTGAACCCCCCTTGTAAAGACTGGGTTATTACAGAAGAACTGAAGACTTATTGCTAGATTCTATCTGTCTTTCCAGTGGTTTTCATAGAGAGGGTATTTAAATGTTCTTATCATAATTGATAGTACATTCTTATATAATATCAGTACCAAATTTGAAAAAGATCTGCTTGATATGTTGAGTAATGTCAGTCAATGAACTGATTTTAATGTATGATTTGTTTCCAAAAGATTTTCTGGTTAAACATATTTTGTGGTCATCATTTTGCATGGGTTCTCTTTGGTGTTACAATGATGGTCCCTAAAGTAACATTCCTCCCTTGCCAATGTTTCAGCTAGATCTGATGGTCAGCTGCTCTGACTTTGACGAGTTTGTACAGCTGCGAAACAATGAGAAGGCAACACTGAATGCATTGAACAAGAACAAGAACAAGCCCACCATCAGGTGACACAGCCATGAGATTATGGTCGATAGTTTGATGGCCATGAAAATACCTTTGAATTTTCAACATTTGGTTTTTGGTAAATAAGATCAAACATGGGGATTCCATGTTTGAACTGCTTCCCAACAACCTATGTTGGTTGTAAGAGGTGACTAAACAGATCTGGTGGTCAGTCTCTGTGTCTTGGTTGATGGTGTGCCCTAGTACCCCAACGGTGTGGATCATTGTTCAGAAAACAAAGAATATCTTTTCTCCACTTAAATATTTACAGGCAGCTGCCATGTAACTGGAACAATTCTTACTTTAAACAATTAACACACATACCAGCACATATTATGAATTGAGACAAAAACATGACTATAAGAGGTAACAGATTTATGGCGTGTTTTTTCCAGATATCCTTTGACTGGAAGGATCAAAACAAAACAGATGAAAACAAACTGGTAGGCATACTTTTTTTTTCATAAATGTTTATAATGTTTCTTTTCCCTTTAAACCATTTCATGCTGATCCAGGTGTTCTTAACACAAACTGAGTCTTGAGTGTTAATAGCAGGGATTTACCTTGAGACCTAGTATTTGAGGGTCCCTGGACGACAAAATGGGTGTGCCAGACACTTAAATATTAAGTTGTGTCCATTGTCAATTTTATGTGTATAGGACGCATGAATTCGCGTCCTGTAAATCCCTGTTAATAGTACAGCTAACCTGTTTATAGAGGTAGAGAGATACATCTCCTCGGAAACATCACTTGATCTCATACAAGCCATATTTCCTGTGGAAGCTAGTGTACCGTGATAAATGTTGTCATATCACTAAAATGTTTCATCTACACATACACAACTCCTGTCCTCACGAGCTGATCCTTTGCCACTTTCAGCTTAATGCAAGCCCAGTTTGGATGTCTTCCCATACAGGACTTCTCCTTGTCACAGGATGTCCTCAAGATATTTAGAGTTGGGCAACGTGTGGCAAAATGTATGTATGATATTGAACCTACCATAGGTAAGTTTTGTATGGTATCAGGTGACCAACATTGTATCATTTATGGTGTATCAAGAGTCTACTGTTCACTTACTGCTTTCATACAGCAGGAACATTGCTGAGTGTGAAGTTATAGTCCGTTTGGCTCAAAAGCGGACCAATGAATTGCAACCTAACTCGAAAACTAATAAACATAAAATACTCAATGAACCACTGATCATAATCAAAACATCATACCAACTCTGTGAGGTTTTTGCAGAATTTTTGTCCTAAAAATAAAAAAGCTGTTTAACAATCTATTATTAAAATATTGACACAGTTCACTATTTGTTATGAGGGAGGAGTGCAGAGAAAGGGACAGCCAGGTGTAACGGATGGAGACGGCACAGCACAGGTTAATGAATAAATAACTTTGTCTGTGAACGTGCTTCTCGAACACCTGGCTGTCCCTTTTGAGCCAAACGGACTGTAATCAACAAACATAGACTCTGGAAATGACATCATGAGCTGAATAAATTCAGTCCTGAGTTAATTTTGTAGAAGATGTTGAAGTCTCAGGGTGTCTTTGTCATAACACAAATGACAAAGATTCAAGAGGTCTCCAGATTCAGATACTAAAGGTGCAAACCTCAAAGACCTCAGCACCCCTTTAACTTCACCCACAAGTCAGTCTGACCTGGGTCAGTCACATGATGTGCCATCCTGTTATGTAAACTCCTTAAGTTTCAAATACTATTGTTGGCTTGTGTACCTAGGCCTGATGGAGTTCTTGTGGCAGAGGAAGGACTACAGAGCTCTGCTGACAGCCATTGAGCTGTTCAAGAGTACCAAGACCAAGCTGTGGGTTGACACCAAGTATGTTGCCAAGCAACTGGATGGCATTGGTAGGTGATGTTGGCAAAATACTAGAATATGTTTATCAATTTTACATAGCCTTAATCAAATCAGACAGACAAAAGTATGTAACGTATGTTATATTTCGGATTACACTTTCTCAGTAAAGTACAGATTCTAGCACTTTTTGAGGTTGTCCCATCTGGGATTGGAACCCACACTCTCAGAGTGAGGTACCTATTCGCCAGCACATAAAGTCAGTGATCTAACCCACGTAGCCAATGTGGCTTCCACAAAATGGAGGTCTGACAAATTGACAAGGCTCCCATGGCTGATGCTATTAATACACAATGCCATTTAGAAAGTGGCCAAATGCAATGTATGTCATGTTTGGGATTACACTTTCTCAGTTAAATACAGATTCTTGAACTTTTGGGGTTGAGTTCCATCCAGGAATTGAACCCACACTCTCAGATTAATTCACTTCAGAAGGGTCTTGTCTTGAATTTTGAACATCAATATGAAACCTATATGTCTGATATCTATGTAACAATATACATTCTTGATGCATACCAGTTTCACATATGTTTGGTTTGTGACTATAGAAGAAATTGTACATGCAACAATATACTTATTGTCATGTGTATATCTGATAATAAAGGAATTTTCTTTCTGAGGAAATTTTTGATGATTAATGAGAATGTATGCTTGTAGGTCCAACCATGTCCCTGTCACTGGTGAATGCTGGCCTGACGACCTTTCAGAAGCTGGAGCAGACAAACCCCAGGGAAATAGAACTGGTATGTCAGTAAAAGCGTATTGTAAAACTTATAGAACTTCGCATTCAGTAGTTTTGTTTGTTGTCCATCAACACTCTCATTTCAACTATACAGAGAGAGGCTGTAAATACTGGAATCTGAGCCAGACATTTAACGGGCAGTATTGTGAGCAATGATGACACACAATCAGTTAGTGATGACCTGTTCCATTAAGTTACATGCATGAGTTGTGTGGGACCTATTTCTTCATGGAATCCCCACGGGTAGGTTCAATCTACAATCACAAAGTCTGAAGGTTTGGGGACCATCTGTCTTTGTGTTTGATTTCAATAGGGACAAGTTCTTTCAGAAACTACCATGGGTACAATGTCACATAAATCATTATAAACATATATATAGACATGTTGATGGATTTTGAAAACAAGTATTGAAAAAGAAAAGGTATAGTTGAAAGAGTTATGGCCCTTGTTTGATCATTTGGACATTTTGCACAGGACTCGTAACTGGGACAGGTTTTCCTGGACACCACCATAGATTACACAGATAACATTTTGCATGCATCACTTTTTGTGATGAGTATGTTATCAAGTTTCACAACTGCTATCTGGAATAAATATTATGGCCCTTATCTAATTTTCTTTTGTATTAGCTCTAATGAGGTCAGGTTTCCTTTCAAGAATATGAATAATAAACCTTTTAATATATCTTCATGAAACGTTGCATATACTTCCTGCAAGTGTTGAACTGGTGTTTGAGGATGTTACTGAATTAAAAAATGTGGTTTCCCTTTTCAAGGTAACAAGGCTAATTGAGGGCAGTAGGGTTTCCTTTTGGTGACAACCTATCTTTTTCTTTTCATGAAATGTAGCAGTGTATAAACAGTTAAGACTAGTGCCTATCGTTTTCACAGAAATCAAAGATGTATTTATAACAATTGCAAACATATTGGCAGATATGGGTGACCTGAATGTATCTGATTTCCCATCTCTTTAAACATGTGATCTTCCTCTTTCAGATTGTGAACAGACACCCTCCATTTGGCAATCAGGTCAGAGATGCTCTTGCTGTTCTACCCAAGTATGAGATGTCAATTGAACAGGTAATCACTCAATATCTTCCAGTATTTTCCCACCCATGAATATCTGTGTTATAGATGGTCTTCAGCAACCCATGCTGACTTCGTTGATGATCGTTTCCCCAAATTACATGTGTCAATGCTCATAATGTCACTCTGATCCAGACGATTGTTAACAGACCATCATATGTGACCCTATATAACTTTAACTCATTGTCAAATAAATATTACCCTATCACAAGTTATTGGTTTATAGTTTATCATTAATACTCTCAGCATCTGTGTGACTAGTATTTGTTCATTCACTTGTTCCTGAACACTATTGTATGGATTATTATTCTACAAACATGTTCAATTGTTAGTGCTTTATTTCAGATAAACCACTACAAGACCAACACATGCGTGCTTGTAGTCAGCATCAACCTGGTCAACCGGGAGACCATCCAGTCCAAGAAGGGATCCACAAATCACCAGTCTGTGCTTCTCATTGGGGATCAGGACAACCACATTGTCTTCAAGTGGAGAATCATGTAGGTCCCCCTGTATGACATCATTGTCTTCAAGTGGAGAATCATGTAGGTCCCCCTGTATGACATCATTGTCTTCAAGTGGAGAATCATGTAGGTCCCCCTGTATGACATCATTGTCTTCAAGTGGAGAATCATGTAGGTCCCCCTGTATGACATCATTGTCTTCAAGTGGAGAATCATGTAGGTCCCCTTGTATGACATCATTGTCTTCAAGTGGAGAATCATGTAGGTCCCCTGTATGACATCATTGTTCAATGGACAATCATGTAGGGTCCCCTGTATGACATCATTGTCTTCAAGTGGAGAATCATGTAGGTCCCCTGTATGACATCATTGTCTTCAAGTGGAGAATCATGTAGGTCCCCTGTATGACATCATTGTCTTCAAGTGGAGAATCATGTAGTCCCCTGTATGACATCAGTCTTCAAGTGGAGAATCATGTAGGTCCCCTGTATGACATCATTGTCTTCAAGTGGAGAATCATGTAGGTCCCCTGTATGACATCATTGTCTTCAAGTGGAGAATCATGTAGGTCCCCTGTATGACATCATTGTCTTCAAGTGGAGAATCATGTAGGTCCCCTGTATGACATCATTGTCTTCAAGTGGAGAATCATGTAGGTCCCCTGTATGACATCATTGTCTTCAAGTGGAGAATCATGTAGGTCCCCTGTCATCATTGTCTTCAAGTGGAGAATCATGTAGGTCCCCCTGTATGACATCATTGTCTTCAAGTGGAGAATCATGTAGGTCCCCCTGTATGACATCATTGTCTTCAAGTGGAGAATCATGTAGGTCCCCCTGTATGACATCATTGTCTTCAAGTGGAGAATCATGTAGGTCCCCTGTATAACATCATTGTGACATCATTGTCTTCAAGTGGAGAATCATGTAGGTCCCCTGTATGACATCATTGTCTTCAAGTGGAGAATCATGTAGGTCCCCTGTATGACATCATTGTCTTCAAGTGGAGAATCATGTAGGTCCCCTGTATGACATCATTGTCTTCAAGTGGAGAATCATGTAGGTCCCCCTGTATGACATCATTGTCTTCAAGTGGAGAATCATGTAGGTCCCCCTGTATGACATCATTGTCTTCAAGTGGAGAATCATGTAGGTCCCCCTGTATGACATTGTCTTCAAGTGGAGAATCATGTAGGTCCCCCTGTATGACATCATTGTCCTCAAGTGGAGAATCATGTAGGTCCCCCTGTATGACATCATTGTCTTCAAGTGGAGAATCATGTAGGTCCCCCTGTATGACATCATTGTCTTCAAGTGGAGAATCATGTAGGTCCCCTGTATGACATCATTGTCTTCAAGTGGAGAATCATGTAGGTCCCCTGTATGACATCATTGTCTTCAAGTGGAGAATCATGTAGGTCCCCTGTATGACATCATTGTCCTCAAGTGGAGAATCATGTAGGTCCCCCTGTATGACATCATTGTCTTCAAGTGGAGAATCATGTAGGTCCCCCTGCATGACATCATTGTCTTCAAGTGGAGAATCATGTAGGTCCCCCTGTATGACATCATCATTGTAGGTCCCCTGTCATCATTGTCTTCAAGTGGAGAATCATGTAGGTCCCCTGTATGACATCATTGTCCTCAAGTGGAGAATCATGTAGGTCCCCTGTATGACATCATTGTCTTCAAGTGGAGAATCATGTAGGTCCCCTGTATGACATCATTGTCTTCTCATGTAGTGGAGAATCATGTAGGTCCCCTGTATGACATCATTGTCTTCAAGTGGAGAATCATGTAGGTCCCCTGTATGACATCATTGTCTTCAAGTGGAGAATCATGCAGGTCCCCCTGTATGACATCAAGTGGAGAATCATGTAGGTCCCCCTGTATGACATCATTGTCTTCAAGTGGAGAATCATGTAGGTCCCCCTGTATGACATCATTGTCTTCAAGTGGAGAATCATGTAGGTCCCCCTGTATGACATCATTGTCTTCAAGTGGAGAATCATGTAGGTCCCCCTGTATGACATCATTGTCTTCAAGTGGAGAATCATGTAGGTCCCCCTGTATGACATCATTGTCTTCAAGTGGAGAATCATGTAGGTCCCCCTGTATGACATCATTGTCTTCAAGTGGAGAATCATGTAGGTCCCCCTGTATGACATCATTGTCTTCAAGTGGAGAATCATGTAGGTCCCCTGTATGACATCATTGTCTTCAAGTGGAGAATCATGTAGGTCCCCTGTATGACATCATTGTCTTCAAGTGGAGAATCATGTAGGTCCCCTGTATGACATCATTGTCTTCAAGTGGAGAATCATGTAGGTCCCCTGTATGACATCATTGTCTTCAAGTGGAGAATCATGTAGGTCCCCTGTATGACATCATTGTCTTCAAGTGGAGAATCATGTAGGTCCCCTGTATGACATCATTGTCTTTGGAGAATCAAGTGGAGAATCATGTCATGGTCCCCTGTATGACATCATTGTCTTCAAGTGGAGAATCATGTAGGTCCCCTGTATGACATCATTGTCTTCAAGTGGAGAATCATGTAGGTCCCCTGTATGACATCATTGTCTTCAAGTGGAGAATCATGTAGGTCCCCTGTATGACATCATTGTCTTCAAGTGGAGAATCATGTAGGTCCCCTGTATCTTCAAGTGGAGAATCATATAGGTCCCCTGTATGACATCATTGTCTTCAAGTGGAGAATCATGTAGGTCCCCTGTATGACATCATTGTCTTCAAGTGGAGAATCATGTAGGTCCCCTGTATGACATTGTCTTCAAGTGGAGAATCATGTAGGTCCCCCTGTATGACATCATTGTCTTCAAGTGGAGAATCATGTAGGTCCCCCTGTATGACATCGTCTTCAAGTGGAGAATCATGTAGGTCCCCCTGTATGACATCATTGTCTTCAAGTGGAGAATCATGTAGGTCCCCCTGCATGACATCATTGTCTTCAAGTGGAGAATCATGTAGGTCCCCCTGTATGACATCATTGTCTTCAAGTGGAGAATCATGTAGGTCCCCCTGTATGACATCATTGTCTTCAAGTGGAGAATCATGTAGGTCCCCCTGTATGACATCATTGTCTTCAAGTGGAGAATCATGTAGGTCCCCCTGTATGACATCATTGTCTTCAAGTGGAGAATCATGTAGGTCCCCCTGTATGACATCATTGTCTTCAAGTGGAGAATCATGTAGGTCCCCCTGTATGACATCATTGTCTTCAAGTGGAGAATCATGTAGGTCCCCCTGTATGACATCATTGTCTTCAAGTGGAGAATCATGTAGGTCCCCTGGCCAGACATCATTGTCCCCCCTGTATGACATCATTGTCTTCAAGTGGATGTAGGTCCCCTGTATGACATCATTGTCTTCAAGTGGAGAATCATGTAGGTCCCCTGTATGACATCATTGTCTTCAAGTGGAGAATCATGTAGGTCCCCTGTATGACATCATTGTCTTCAAGTGGAGAATCATGTAGGTCCCCTGTATGACATCATCCTTCAAGTGGAGAATCATGACATCATTGTCTTCAAGTGGAGAATCATGTAGGTCCCCTGTATGACATCATTGTCTTCAAGTGGAGAATCATGTAGGTCCCCTGTATGACATCATTGTCTTCAAGTGGAGAATCATGTAGGTCCCCTGTGACATGGAGAATCATGTGTCCCCTTCAAGTCTTCAAGTGGAGAATCATGTAGGTCCCCTGGTATGACATCATTGTCTTCAAGTGGAGAATCATGGAGAAGTGGAGAATCATGTAGGTCCCCTGTATGACATCATTGTCTTCAAGTGGAGAATCATGTAGGTCCCCTGTATGACATCATTGTCTTCAAGTGGTGAATCATGTAGGTCCCCCTGCATGACATCGTCTTCAAGTGGAGAATCATGTAGGTCCCCTGGTATGACATCATCGTTTTCAAGTGGAGAGTCATGTAGGTCCCCCTGTATGACATTGTCTTCTAGTGGAAAGTCATGTAGGTCCCCCTGTATGACAGCATTGTCTTCAAGTGGAGAGTCATGTAGGTCCCCCTGTATGACAGCATTGTGTTTAAGCTGAGAATCGTGTAGTTCCCCACCATGACAACATTTTTTGCTCAGAGAATTATTTCAATTCCCCATTCTGACACCACTGTCTTCAAAAGGAGAATTTTATGGGTGTCGCTGTATTTCATGTACACATAGGGATGACAACTTACCCGACCTCCATGACCTCTTGTCCAAGTTTGAGGTGTGATGTATCTATGTGTGCATGTCTATACTGGTTACTTCCTGTACTAGTTGGTTCAATTCTTCTCCAGTGACAGCCAGATTCTTAGAGATGATGTCTGGAAGCGGAGGATTGATGTGACTCGGAGCAGTGCTGGCCCAGAACTCTATGTGCATCTCATTAGTGTGCAATACGGTCAGTGTGAATACTTCACAGTTTACACTTCAGGTATAAGAAATGTGATATGGTCTGTGCTGAGCCATTGACAATCAAATGTTCAGTGGGTATAATTTACACTTAAGTTTAAGGGAATTGATACAGTTTACTTCAGTTATAAGGAATGTGGTACTCACTAAACATGTGCCATCGATTACCCAGGTTAATACATATCTTCACTCCATTATGCTAAATACCCTGGAGCCATTCACCATTGAGCCTGGAGCCACTGGATTGCTACCTTAGCATAGAGTGTTTTGCATCAGACTCAAAATAAACTATGGTAGAAAATGGACAATTGAAGATGTACATTGGAAGGCTTTGAAGAAATGGTGCTGCCTAGGTATTGAGGTTTTCAACTGGTTGTCTGATTCAAGTATATGCACACCATATAATGTGGCATTAAACATCAGATACATATACAGAACATATGCTTGTTAATGTACGAGTCTTTAGGACTCTGTTGGAACATTTTGTGCAGAGTTCATAATTACTAATAATTTGTAAGGTAAAGTGTTGTTACCAACCAAGAATTCTCTGTATTACAGTTGGTTTGGATATCCATACGACATACATACCAGTCTACCAGTGGTGTAGTGAGCACATGCAGATGACAAGTCATCCCGGTGTAAGTCATCAGAGGCCTGGCTGTAGCCAGGTCACACAGGGACAAGTTGTAACTTTGAACAATAGGATATTGAACATTTCCATGATATTTTGAACTTGCTAGGGTTTTATTAGTCAAATTTGTTGAGCATGTTCTTTCTTCTACTTATTATTTTACAACAACACAACAATCACCATAATCATATATAAGGACTGACGATGTTAATATCAATGCTTTTAGGGCAGTGCTGCCATCAATGATGATGATGATGGTTTACAAAATAAATGGTAATGCCTTCAGGACAGAGCAGCCATTGCAGCCATTGATGATGATGATGACAACAAGGATGATGATTTAAAAAATGATAAAATTATAATGATGCTTTCAGGACAGTGCAGCTATCAAACGTCCCCCAGCAGACCAAGGACAACAGACACAGCTTGGGGCATCTGCTCCGCCAGGGCGGTGTAATCACAAGTGTCACAATAAGGCCCAGTGTGGCCACAAGTGCTGTAAGGAGGAATTTCAAACCCTGGCCAATCAGGCACTATCAACAAACCAGTGTCTCACAACATCAGCCCGGTGCGTAATCAGAAGGGTGTCGATGCTCAGATCAGAATGCTGAAGAGTAAAGCAAGCTCACTTGATCTAATGTCAGGAGCATCCAAGAGGAAAAAGGTAGGTTTGAAAATAAGTGAGTGAATATGGGCTTCACACATCGTACACATGAGTGGAATCAAACCTAGGTCTTTGATTAACCAGGCTACGACACTGACTCAGTTTGAAAAGGAGTTTGATTACCGAGATAGTACTGACATCCTTTAAATGTGACGAAGACTTGAAGTAGTTTATTCTCAATGAGGAAATTTAAAAACATCACTGAGGCCATATAGGCTGATCATTTGTCCACTCCAATTAAAATGCACGGGCATACTGAATGATTCTTCTCTAGAATGACATAGATAAAGATATGTTACAAGTCCTTCAGGCAAACAGTATACATGTATAATGTTTCAGGAATATTGTTGAAAGATTGAATAAAGAAAGTTTCTTTATATTTTGTACAGATGTGTGATATGAAACGTGGTCTGGGTTTGCAGCAGTATGCCTACCAGAAGCCTCCTTCCATGAGAACATATGACCAACATAGCAAACCACAGCAAGCACCTGCTCACTCCATACAGGAACCAATGCAGAGACACCAGCCATTCAACTCCAGAACCATTCTTGGAAACATTCTTGGAAACATCAAATATGGTGTAGGTGGGAGGAGGATAGATCCAGGGCTCAGACGAGATAGCAACATGGAGAAGCATTCCTTGTATCAGGATCTATATGCAGATGAATGGCAGGATGACTCTGATGTCAACACATTCCAATATGGTTTGACTGGGTTTGATAATGAAGATGGCAGCATATCCATGCAATATTCATGTCCAAACAGAGGTTCGACGGATCCATGGAAGGAAAATCAGTCCCCAGCTAAACTGAGAGGACCACCACCAAATCAGTTGTTAGGAGACATGCAGAGAGGATGTGGTACTGCTGGGACGTTGGGATCATTATGCAATCTTGATGATGCTGGAGAGCTTGACGACAACTGGGACAGTGTGAGCATACAGCAGGGGCCCTCTGCACTGCAGTCCCGGAACCAGTCACCAGCACACATCTCTTGTCATGATGACTGGGCTGAGCTCCATATGTATCAGAAGGATAGAGAAGCGCTTGAACAAGGTTGTGTATCATTCAGACAACTCAACATTCAAACCATGGTCTTTCACTCTGCTATGATTACATACTTAACCTAACTTCCTGTAGCAGTGTTATCTTGGAATATGTCTTAACAGAATACTCACCTTGAGTTAGTTTACAGACCCAGCAAGTATGTTTCAAGTACTTAAACACAACTTTGTTTTTGTGATATCTTACATATTTACATAATTACAATAAGTAACTGTTCCAGTTTTGCACAGAATGTTTGTTACATTGTCTTGGAGTAGAATATAAATGGGCACCAGTGTGGAGAATCGTTCCCCTTTAAGGTGAAATTTGTCTGTCAACCATCAGACTCTAATGAAACATCTCTAAAACGGCTTGATGGATTGAGATGAAACATTTTGTAGTTGTCCCGACCACTATTGTGACAAATTCAAGTATCGATGGCATCAAAATTGAAAGTTGATAAATAAGTGTTTTTAGTCAGGTGAACCGAATGATAATCAATGTGATATTTTTATAAAATTTGTATATGCACACAACATACAGACAGTGTTGAAGAAACACATTGTTGCTTTAAGAGTATAGTCATACTAAATGTTATTGTTTGTGTAGAGATGTTTGATATTGAGCATGATGGCCTCTCACCCAACTATTTACAAGTGAAGACCACCAGGAGCTGGTACAAAATTTGGTTGTTTTTTTTCCAGAGATATTTGACAAAAACAGTGATTCACCCAAGTATTTTCAAGTAGTGACCTTATGGAGCTGTTACAAATTGTGGTTGTTTTTTGTTGTTCCAGAGATATATGATGTAGATCCTGATGGTTTTTCCCCTGAGTGTTTTACCAGTGCTGATCTCCAGGAGCTGGACAGACACAGCAACCTTCAGCCTGAAGACACCAGGCAGACAGAATCTTGTAAAACAACAACAAACATTTACCCATCAAGGAACAGCTACTTACAACTTCAAACATACAGCAGGCCAGTTCTTCAGCAGAACCAGTATAGGAATGGTGGCAGCGTGGCAAGGGATGGACACCATCTGTCACATGCTGGTGTAGAGGTTGTCAAGGACAACACTGGAGCATTTACAACAAGTCAGTCAAGGTAACGCTTGATCATACCTGAATTTGAAACAAATGTTTAAAAGCTCTTTGTCTTGATCTTGGTCCTGCTTCTGATATTATACGTTGTATGCTTCTCTCAAGGGTAATATGGTCTGATGTACACCTGTTTGTAGCACATGTTCTTCAAATACTGGAATAATAATCATTGTCACCAGTGAATACTGGCACACTAGGAAATGGAGGTGGAATTTAGGAAATAATTTTCCTCAAACTGACAGAAGACAAGAAAATGGTATGTGGAAGCATAATAGTGTGCTGTTTGAAGATTAAATGCTCATTCATGTTGTCATACATAAACATAAACTTGCAATCACTTGTTACTTATTAAGCATATCTTATGTTATATGAATTATAACGGTTATGTTTCAGTGATGATGAACTATGCTATGTAGGAGAAATACTTGGGAGACAGGACTATGAATATGATACACTGCCACCTTCAAACCACACACCAAAACCACAATATGGAAAATTGAGGACAGGTAACACCCCAGTCCCACCAGGTCCCGACAATGCTCCATGTGGTGACAAGCTACTTGTAGGACAGAAAACTCCTCCATACAGTTCCCATCGACGGTCTTCTACATCCAGAAAACACAGTTTCGGGCAGGTTGTGGCCTGGGTTGCTGACTCAGACTCCTCTCCCTGTAGCCAGAAGTCCATTCCAAGGTCAAGGACACCACTGCTCAAAAGGAGCACTCTAATGGTTGAGCTTCAAAAAAGGTAATGCTGAACTCTCGAGAAGTTTTTGATCAGTTGTGTATTTACTCACAATATCATTCATATTGGGTACTGAAAATTTTGTTTGGATATTCAATATATATTTTTACTCTAAACAGTTCAGTTTTGTGTATCAATTTGAAAATAACAAGTGTTTGCCACTGATATTTCAATGTCCCCCACCACTAAAGAATGGAATATCTATATTTACTGCTTTTTATTTTTTGGTCACATACAAAATGCCTGAAATGACTGGTGTCTGCATAATCCCCCAATGTAGGCTGTCACCAAATTTGAAGACATTGGGTACAACAGTCCATGAGATATCGCATTAACAAGAGTTTGAAAAGTGGTCAAAGTGTCGTGGTGACCTTAAAAATAAGGTCAAGGTCACCCCAATCGACTGTGTCTGTGTAATCCCCCAATGTAGGTTGTCACCAAATTTGAAGATATTGGATACAACAGTGCATGAGATATCGTGTTAACAAGAATCGGGAACAGACGCCACTGAATACATCTGAACGGACAGGAGCCGCTGAATACCTTATGAACATTACAACTAAGAGCTTGGATAGTTGTCCTCCGCCGCAACGTCATATGTAATGTTTCTCACACACATCCTGAATATTTCCAAAAATTGGCTTAGCCATTGTTTTGAGGCAAAACATATTTCTGTTTGAATACTCTATTTGACAGGACACCCACAAATGGCTCAGGGACCAGTGATAATGAAGAGAAATCTGTGGTAAGTTACTATTGCAGCCAAGTCTAGAATTTAAATCAATTTGTTGTCTTAGATTACATTGAAATTATTGTTGGCTGACTGGCAAGAATAGTAAAGTTTTGCCTTTAATTGTCAACAAGCAAATGGTGTACAGTACTGTAGGTTAGGTACATACTCACTTGCTTGATACATGTTTGCATCTATACCAAAATGTTCTGTATATTAAATAAAGTTCTATATCCATAGAAATATTTCCCTTGTTCTTTGGTGATATAGCTGGAATATTGGTGATCTAGCCACAGTATTGTTGACAGCAGGGTCACAGATAAACCAGAGATATTGGTGATGTAGCTGGAATATGATGATTGTAACATTCCACTCACTAATACATAGCAGCTGTTCCTTTGTTTCAGCAGCTGTCTGTGAAGAAAGGTGACCTGGTGTACCCAGAAACAAACACATCCAGCTTCTTCCATCTGTTCAGGTATGGTCAATGGTGGTGTGAGATATGTTTTAATGTCACATTCAAGAATATTACATTTACGACATTCTTTTTAATAACTCCACTTACTGATATTTCATAGAAAAATCCTGAGTAGAAAAATACAGTTGATATACAGTGACATACATACATGTGCATCTGTGTGTGCCTGCTTGTACCAGTCTCGACATCTGCCATGTCTACTAATACATTTTCAAAGAATAGAAACTGATTTACTCATTGCCATCATTCAATATGTCATCTTTGCTGGTGTGTCCCACATATTTGTTGATGTGTAATGTTTGTGTTTCAGGCCCAACGTGACAGATGACATGGGTGACATGAATGAAAACATTTTCGCTGGCATTTTCTGAAACCTCTTCATCAAGACACATCTTGCTGTCAAAGCTTGAAGTTCTTTGACATGACTAGATCAGAGTTGCCTGTGCGGAATTTTAGTTCTGTGAACTATAATAATACACAACGTTTAATAGGTATATTTTATTCTGGATGTCCAGGTGTGGAATGACTGTCAAGTGTGATATTGTGAACGTCACACCATTGCTTAATTTGATTAGACATAAATGTACCAGAAACTTGGTGTTTCATAACAGTAGATTGAATAATACAGGAATGTTTCACTTTTCCTGATGTTATGACAGTCTGTGATATTTACCCAACTGTGATATAAACATTGTTCATTAATGATGCAGTTTCATAACACTGGCGTACTGTTCTTGCAGCCTGTGGTTCTAACAAAATAGTTGGACCTGACAGTGTGGAATATTTATTAGTTTATTAAACTATTTATCAACTGTGTGTTTGTTGCCCCAAAAATAATCAACAGTCCATTGTAGATAACCAAAGCTTAATGTTAAAATCACTGATTATAAATCAACCTAGATCAACTATCCCTCGTCAGTCTAACAGTCCCAATCTAATCCATTTGAGTCACTTATAGTGGAATAACATCCTGATAATGTATTCTAATCTTGCACATGAATGTTACGCAGGATGTACATCATCAATTACACTGACTCCATTGCTGTGGGCCCATTGGATATGAGGAGAAAGTGAAAAGCATTCGCCTCTTCATTCCATCTTTACCTTTATGTACTGATAAGGTACCGTCATGAGTCCTTTTCAGCTTTTAGCTTGACTGGCGGTGTCTGAGGGTTTCAACCCATTTTCTGTTAACTATTGACGTAATACTGAAAAACATCAAAAGTTGAAACACACAACTTTCTGCTTGTGACTTACAGCTTTCTACCAGTCGTAAATTCTTCTCTTAAATCTGTTTGTACCAACACTGGTCACAATTATTTTTGAAAGAAATCCAACCAAATATAAATCTGAAATACAAAGTAAACTAGTTTATACTGTAGTCTTAAAACGAACTGTTTTGTTCATATAGATGTTTTGAAATATCTGGATTTATCAGACTGTAACAGATTTGATTATTTACAGACTGCTGCCACACCAACCAAAATGCTGGTGAAAAGATTCACATGAAACTAACCACAGACTGACTGACTGACTGAGTTTGGTTTTACGCCGCTTTTAGCAATATTCCAGCAACATCACGGCAGGAAACACCAGAAATGGGCTTCACACATTGTACCCATGTGGGGATTCGAACCCGGGTCTTTGGCGTGACGAGTCAACGCTTTAACCACTCGGCTACCCCACCACCCCTAACCACAGACAAAACTATCAATAATCTCTCAATGTTGCTTAAACCAATTCTTTTTGGAGTTTGGTTCCACTGTACCATATGCAAATTTCTTAAAATTCTTAAAACAACACAACTCAACCCAGATTCATATATTTTAACTTGACTGATGGCTTTTTACATAGGAAACGGAAATATACAGACATAAGTTAATATTCAAATTTAAAGTCGAAGTAAGATTGATCAAAAAAGTGTACTCTGAGATAGCCATCTTCTCCTCCACTTGTGTAGCTGAAACACAAAAAAGACCATAAGTCAGTTGACAACACATTACAAATAATTATCACCAGACTACCGGGGGCAGTTAAATTCATAATGTTAACCCTTTCACCCATGTTTATAACAAACCAAACACTATCATAGTATGTACTCGGGGCTTATTCGGACTGATATGTGTTTGATACAGTGGTCAAAGTTTGTAACAAATGCCAGTGTCTGGTTCCACAAAGCACAATTGTGGCATTCATTGATCCAAGCACTATCTTGGCATTGACTGATTGTGTTGTTGGATGCATAGAGATTTCAGCACTGTTGTAGTATCGACAGATTATCAGCACTATTGTGGTATTTCTGTCACTGTCACGAATTTCTGCTACATCAGACATCCTGAAAGGTATCCAGCAAGAACCAAACAAACCCATAGAGGACAGTACAGCTAACATTAATCTGCACCTATGAAGGCCGTCGGATACAAGGAAACTATGCTGGTTAGTTTCTTTGAGAGGCATTTTAGAAGTTGTGTAGATGAAGGAAAACCAAGTTTATGAATGTTATGGATAGTACTTTCTTTATTGCAATGGTCATTGTAAGTTTACTTAGCGCTGCCTTTGAACCTAATCAAAACCAAGTTAAATATAATGGAAATGATTTCATAAAAATCAGTGGGTACTAACACGGCTATCAAGCAAGTGATGTTAGTACCTACACCTACCCCGAAACGTCGCACCCATTGCAATAAAGAAGTTGACTATCCTACAACTTGGTTTTCCTTTATGCTGGTTAGTGGTAAGTCAGTGTGCACTTATGAACACCATAGAACACCAAGGACTAGTGCTGCGCAATATAACCGGTTTACCGGTTCAGACATGAAAACGATACGTATTGCGATACGCTGATCGAAAACCGGTATTTTGACATGCATTCGGAAAACTTCGTAACACTCGGAAATCTTCGGATATTTCCGTTTTTTAAGTTTTTCCTTTCCTTTTTTTATTTGTGCCAAATATTATTTACATTTGTTTTTGTCATGATTAAAAGTTTTTATTAAATCTTAATCAAGCATAGTGATTTTGTTGTGTTTTTGCTTTATAAATGAAGCATTAACTCGATTATAAGTAGTTTTTTTTGTTAAAAAAAACCCTTCTTGCAATATATTGCAATACATATCGCAATATCTTGTTGACGCTTTTGCATGGCAATATATCGCAATATGAAACTTCTCTGCAATACCCACCCCTACCAAGGACCTACTCTGGTTAACTACTTTAATCTGCTCTTATGAAGTGCACATAGAACCAGCAATCTGCTCATACAAAATGCAAATGCAAACTCCTGATCGGGGTAAAGAACACAAAGCACAACTCACCTTTTGCCATCAGGATGAAATGAACAACTGTTGATGGGACCAAAGTGACCCTTGACCCTGCCAAACTCCTCCTCAAAGATCATGTGGAAGAACCTAGCATCAAACTTTCCAATCCTTGTTGACGTGGTTGTGACGTCCATGGCCTCCTGACCACCACCTAACACCACCTGAATCAGAGACAAAATACAAACACTGTTAGTACAATGTACAGGAATTTCCCTGCCCATGTAGCCTAAGTGTTCATTTAACTTGGAATTGACCTCTACTGAAGATAAACTGTTTCCATACAAAACTTTAATCAGTATCCCTTGAATTACTAGCACATGAAGGTGAGGTAGAATAGTGTTGATGTTGTCTTCAAGATGCTGAACTTACACATCCATGTACATGTAAGTGTTTATAGACTTGCCCTACTAAATCCCATGCTGTTGTTTAACATAGTTATCCCACTCTGACACAGTATACTGACACAGAGCCAACCTGCTCTTGTTTTATGCTCGTAATGCCATAAAACAGCGGTAACAACAAGTACAGTACCAGGGAGAAATCACTTAAAAGGACATCGATTACACCTGGTTGTTGACAAGGATTCAAATATAATCAAAACATATTCATAGCTACCACTAAGGGTTTCAATGCAATATTTTTTTTTATGGAAGGTATGATCTCTAAACAACAGTTTGAGGAAGAAATAAGCCTGTCCATATTTTTGCCAATCTATTTCCTTGCTTGTCCAGAGCACGACATTCTATTGTGATTAACACTGTGGTATTCACCATCACAGCTTCCTTTCATTTGTTTTACGTCTTTAATGCAGCACACAAACATATTCTAGGTATATGGCAACAGTGTGTAAATAATTTAAGTCTGGTCACCGTGTTTGTTTTCAACTTTTGTTGCACACTCCAGCTTTATGACAAATATCAGTGGTTGACCTCATAAACACTGATCCACACAGACAGATCTGATAATATAGATGCTGAGCACGATGACCCAATCTATTATCCAGAATTGGTTGCCGGGAAACTTTTTTTAGTAAGCGAGAATCACCATGGGTAGTATCCAACAGAACAATGGAAATATGGTGCCCTGAATAAACAAAGATTGGTGGTCCCGTGGAGGTTTGTATTCTATCGTGGACCAGACTCTTTACAAAGTAATAATCCTTTTTTAATTTACTCCTACATAGGAATTGGGTGAACAATCCTTAGGACACATGTGGTCAACAACACTCACATGTTCATAGATAGGTGAGAGGGAGGCGGAGTTCACAGGTCGCTCGGTCTTGTAGCTCTTCAAGAAGTCAAACGTCTTCGTGTCAAACAGCTGCAGAAGAATATACAGGAATTGGATGAAACGGAATCAATCACAGCTCACACACAGATAACAAAGATAGGATAAATACTCTCAAGACTCCAAGAATGGCTTCAGATATTGTACCTATATAGGGAATCAAACCTGCTTTTAGGCAGGACAAGCTGATGCATATCCACATTCCAAGCAATCAACTGGTGATGGTGTCACCAGTAGTGAGCGAGTGAGTTTGGTTTAACACCGCTTTTAGCAATATTCCAGTAATATCACGGCAGGGGACACCAGAAATGGGCTTCACACATTGTACCCATGTGGGGAATCGAACCAGGGTCTTCGGCGTGACGAGCGAATGCTTTAACCACACGGTTACCCCACCGCCCAGTATTCACTGTAATAAGTTCTTTAGAAAATTACATAGAAGGATAACTTTTAAAACATGCACAAGTCACATTTGTCATCAAGATCTGGAAGTAGTGAACATTACAGTCCTGAGACTAATCCTCCCCAAGCAGAACAATATTAACAATGTGGATCAACCCTATTATTTAATCCTACGTCAGATATCCAATGTCTAAATGCCTTTCACAGATGTGAGAAAATGGTACTCTCTCACCTTGGACGATGTGTCTTTTGAAGCTGTGATGAACATAGACCCGTCTTTTGATAACTGAATATCGTTGATGTTCTTCGTGTGTTCCTTGACAGAGTTCACCTTTTCGCCGGTCTGTGAAAAGTCATAAAATATCTCTCACACACAGCAGGGCAAACAAAGATTTGCTTCATTGCCATTTTTTGTGCCCATCCCATGCCTAATATCTAGCCTTGACCATGACCATGCCTAATATCTAGCCCTAACCATGACCATGCCAAATATCTAGCCTTGACCATGACCATGCCTAATATCTAGCCCTGACCATGCCAAATATCTAGCCTTGACCATGACCATGCCTAATATCTAGCCTTGGCCATGCCAAATATCTAGCCTTGACCATGACCATGCCAAATATCTAGCCTTGACCATGCCTCAAGCCTAATATCTAGCTAGTTTTGTTGAAGTAATGTTTCCCAACAGCAAGTAGACTTGCAAACATCTGTTATCATAATTTGAATGTTTACGATTGTATAAACTGTCAGCTTATGGACAAGCAAGTGAGTTTAACTTCAGCACTGCATCAGCATTGTTTCAGCCATATAGTGACTACATACTAGCTACAGAAACTGAACATTTATGTGGAAGTATTGAAACAGGCAATTTACTGGTGCCATATGCGGGCATTATAGTTTCTCATTTTGAACACTGATATTTGTCCTAAATAAACTTGTTAAAATGAAATATTTAGCAGTAGTAGATTGACAAAGAGTTCACAGGGTTGGAAATTTGTCCAAAACATGAGCTCCCCATTGTGTAGAGCATTTCAGTAGAATATAAACTCACAAAACACTAATATCAAACCAGGATCAAACCATCGATCACCTGCTATCTGAACAGACACTCCATCCACTTGACCACAGGGCAGTCAATACACCAAGTTATTGTAACCCAAAGCTTCAGCATCATAGGGTAATGTTTTAACAACAAGGCTACCACTAGAACAGTGTTGTCTTACCTTCAGGTCGTACTGACATATTTCTCCATTCTCATGGCCAGTGATGATGCATTCCTCGTATGGCCCCCAGATGGCCGACGTGATCTTTGACCCATCGATTGGTATCACCATCACTGGTTCATTGGAGGCTGAAATGTTTGTAAAATCTGGGTTACCACGGTTACACACAACTAATAACGAAGATTAGAGAAAGTCTATGAGTAGTTGTTTGTTTGCTATCCAGATGGTGCATCCATTATTGAGTGATGCTATCGGTCAAATCTTAGAACAGAAATTTATTGTTATGTA